TGCTTTGCACATCCACAAAGAGTCAGCCACCCGAGAGAGAATACTCACCCTGCCATCCCAGGAATGCAAACAGGAAGGGCTGCCAGTGAGGCCCGAGATGTGTTTACAGGTTCCTCCCCAGCCTTAATAACACCCTGGGCAGCACAAGAGTGGCAAGCAGCTGTGCTCCTCTGGGAAACTGAGGAGCGGTGGTGTGAGGAACCAGAGACGCCCACAGGAAAAACAACTGGAGTGCAGGAGGGCACCCACCCATGGTTGTGCCACACCAGGTGGCCGCCTCCGACACTGAGATGCTGGGCAGGGAGCCCGAGGCAAAATGGCTTGAGGCCCTGAGATGGCTCCAGAGCCTCAAGGGCCTGTCAGAATGAACCCTCCTTGAGAGGTCCCAAACTTTCTGCTGCCACTAGCAAGGTGGACAGGCCAGTCCTGGACAGACGAGATCTCAGCCAATGCATCCAGGAGCCGTCTGACCTCACAAAGCTATTCTGAGCATGACTGCAGTAGCAAGCAGGAAAAACGCCTGGGCTCTTCACAGCAAAGGCACTACTGACATGCAAAGAATTCTGGGTCCTTCTGAGACCTGGGCTGGGCCGGGCCAGGCCACGAGTCTGACCCGTGCACACTCCACAGAGGAGTGGCCCCTTGATGGGTTGAATTTACGCCCCCAGCCAGGCTGGGTCCTGTCTCTTCTTTGTCACTCAGGGCCTAGCTGCCAGGCTTGGCACAGGCTGGCTCAGCAGTAAATTCAGAGAGGGGAGAGAAAATCCCAACCCGAACCTCCGTGCTGAGGGGAGATGTCAGTTCGCTTCCACCTAATAACACTGCAGGATCAGCAGGCGAACACACACATTCATTACCAAGTCTAATTAGGCTGGCAGACAAGTGGCATTAATCATTTTTGACTGTACCTGGGATTCAAGCCCCCCACACGCCATAATCAGAAAATTTCATGCTCTGATGAATAGGGGGAGAAACGAAGCCCACATTTAATCCTCTCACTGTCATCTTTTGAGAAGGCAGGAAATAAGAAAGGAAAAAACAGGGGGTGCAGCTTGAGCAGCTCAGAAGGCCTCTGGAAGGCAATTTCTGTCCTTTGTGTGCCCCCTAAGCACACTTTCCTGGAGACCTTTCCCAAGAAATGACCCCTGTTAGAGGCTGGGAAGAGGGAAAGATGGAGCGGGCTTCTCACTATCTATCACAACAAAGCATCCATTTTGGAGCTTCGTTTTCCCACCTCCAAAACCCAACCTGGGTTTAAATCAACAAAAATGAAGCCACACACTTGAGTATCGCTGGGCACACTGAACAAATGCCTCCCAAGGGCCCAAGGTAAACATGGAAACCATCAGGACCACCAAAGGCACTTTCCGAGGTGCCTGAGGTGAAGACCTTTTCCTGCTGTGGGGACAGTCAGTGTCAATTCCCAGTGGTCTATTCGGGCAAAGTGCCCACAGTAGGCGATAGGTCTGCAGGATCAGTGGGCTTCACACGGGTGCTTCTAGCCCTGCAGAATCAAGCTGAACCCAGCTGTTCATGCAGAGGTAAGAGCTAGAGGTCAGACAGGGGCCAGCCATGCTTCCTATGAAAAGTCTCCGTGCCCCTCCCTGTGGACACCATGGCCATCACCACAACTGCAGTCTGCCTTGGGAGGGGAAGTTAGGATGAGGAGTCCCCGGAGCCCCCCTTTTAACCCTAGCATTCAAATCACTAAACACATCATGGCTCCAAGCACCCCCTCACTCACCAGAGAGACTGAGTCCAGGTGACGTGTGACGCTCACCAGCAAGGTGCAAGGGAGGTCTCAGCCACTCCTTCCTGGAGCTGGAGCTAGGTCTCTCCAGCTGCCAGACCACTTGCTGGCCGAGAATGGCTTACAATCCACGAAAAACAAGAAGAAAGGTAAAAGGCCACCTCACTGTACCCTCTGCAGAAGAAGGGACAGTCCCTAAGAGCAAAGCCAAAGGGCAGCTGGTGAGTTTCTCAGGTTATTTGCTTTTGACCATTGATTGCTCCCAGCAATGACCACCATTCCCGCCCTAAAGCACGAACATGCAGTCATGTAACCTTTCAACTCTCGTGTTTCTCTCTCTACGTTTCTGCCACCCTCACCGGATTTCCTTCTCTAACCAGTAGGATTTCTTGAATCCTGAAAACTGGGATTAATTCTGAACTTTGCTGTTGGCAAATCCAGCATTAACCAGAGCTCAGTTACAGACCTGGAAGTAGGGGAACATTGTCAGGCAGGCAGATGGTGCACCGGCAATTAATTCTCGAAAGCTTTTCGTTTATGGGAAGCCCATTTGCCAACATGGCTCCCACCCAGTGTCAGTCTCCTGTGCAGACAGATGTCATTTATATACCCACTGCCCTTCTGCTTGTTTCCAAGAACAGGGAGATTTAGTAATACAAACAAGCCACCCCCTTCAGCTACCACTTATTGAAGTGGTGGCCAGCGCTTTGCTGGGTGCAACTGACATACAGATAAGAAGCCAGTGTCTTTGTGAGTCCCTACACCAGGTAAAGAAGGGTTTCAGCTGCTGACATTCTGTGAGGATGCTGCGGCCAACCGCAGGACATGGGGCAGGGGTCCGTCTCCAGGGGTTACTTCATACTTGAACTTCCTAGGATTCCTGCAGCAGTCAGGTTGCCACTGAGCACAGCAACTGAGCAGTCAGAAAATGGTGCTCACTGCTTGGAGAAGCGACCCAAGGAGCCAGCACGAGCCTAGGCTAGTGCTACTGCTCTGAGATGCGAGGGTTTAATTCGCATTTAATTAAATACTCATACTGCATTCTTCCGGGAGCTACTAAAAGTGCTGTACACATATAAAAATTAATCCATTTAATTCTCACATTAAGATGATGAAACAGGTAAGATTATTATCCTCACTTTTTTTTTGGGGGGGTACCAGGAATCGAACTCAGGACCTTGTGCTTGATTATCCCCACTTTTTAAACAAGGATATGGAACACAGTGACCCAGGGTCACATAGAGGGGAAGTGACAGTCAGGACTCAAACTCGGGACTCTGGTTCTGGTCTGCACTCTCGGCACTGCACTGAGTGGCCTTTTACCGGTGCCTTTCCTGGCCCTTGCATTTCAAAGCTAAGACAGACAGATCGATCCCACCATGGAATTAGACCCCCTACCTACATACACCAAGATGCTCAGTGCGCTCAGCCCTGCTGGGCAAACTCACCCATCAGAATATTTCTCAACTTCTCCCGGCCAGTCACAGGCTCACAATTAGTTAAATATTAATAACAACAAACAGAGACTCCTCTCTGCAGCCCCTGAGTCTGGTTCTGCTTCCTCTCTGGTGTTCAGACATCCCTGATAACACATAGCTGGTGTTAAATCAACTGTGTGGGGAATACGGGAGCCCAAGGACAGGAAAAAAGTTCACCAATCACACACACATAGCAGGTCCTGCTGTGCACCTTGGTCTTCCCGCCACTAGCAACCATGGCCCAAGCAAGGTGAACAGACAGTTCTAATGTGATGTGAGGACACCTTCACATAATCATCAAGTATCACACAGGTGCATACACGAATACATCACTGTGACCAAACAAAATCATAAAACTATGCACAGAATGTCAACAATTGATATGGTTCCCAAAAGTCTAAGTACAAGCAAGAATGCCAGTGAAGCGAATTTCTTGGATTCTGGCAAAATAAAACCCACTACAGGGAGGATACTGCCTTGCCCTGAGCACAGGCTTTGTGGATGCAGTAAAGTAACTCCAGACCTTGTGAGGGCTGAAGCTGCCAGTATATCTAGATTGCGTTCGATTTTTCTGTTGGGCCAGAGTTCCTGAGCACATGACAGCAGCCTTCCATACACACTGCTCTCCACAACTGCTCTGACCTCCTTCGCTGGCTCCTGAACTGCGAGAGCTGGTGGCAGAAAGAACAGCACCAGAGCTCCCCTCTAAGCCCTCTTCCGCTGGACTCCGCCTAGAGTCTGAGCCCTCACTGGACACCCCAGAGCTGCTGCTGTCCAGTGCTGCAGTGCATCATGGGGAAGGGCCTCTGCAGAAAGATGATGCAAACCGCAGTCCATCTCCAGAGAGGTTGGTTAGGGGCTGTGCCACCGTCTGTGCCTTGTGCTTTGGGTATTTAAAACATCTATATAAACACATGGCTATGGATATCCTTTGCCAAACTGGCTACAGGAAGGGTGCAGGCAGACACCTAGTAAAGAAATACACGTACCTTACTGTAGGAGGAGAAAATAATAAATGGCAGGAAGACTGCAGGTTTGCTCAGAAATTCCCCACACTGGGATCCCAGTGTAATCAGCCTGGCTCAGGAGGCGACTAGGTGGGTTGACAGTGCCAGGCAGCGAGCTGGGAAATCACAGAGCAGGATGAAGCTGCAGGAACTGAGGTGAAGGAAGAGGAGGAGGCAGGGTCCAGCCCTTGGGTAGAGGCCAAAGGTTTGAAGGGCCACAAAGCGGGCATGGGGTGCAGGGCCCGGGTGATCCCAGCCTCTTCAACCTCACAGCCTGTTTCCATCCAAAGCTTAACTAGGTCTCCAGTAGGGGGGTGGGGTCTGAGCTCTGTGCCATAGGCGGATAAAAGTCATTTTCCCATTAATTCTAATGAGCAAGGGTTAAATAATCAACTCAATATCAGCCTCAGAGCCCAGTTCCAAGAACTTACAACCAAAGCAGACGGATGCCCGGGAGACAGCTGAATGACCTTGTGCCCGACCAGCAGCGCAGTCCACTAGCGCGCGCGCATGCAGGTGAATGGGAAAGGTAGGGCCGAGGCACACACCTGTAACTGTCAAACACCGCATACCCATACCAGGGCAGCGGGCAGTCACTAAAGGACACCAGGCAGGGGACTAAGGAGCAGCGTGAACGCAGGGATTGCCTGCTTTAAGATCGCTCCTACGCTGGAGCCAGAGAGCGCAGTGCCCTCTGTCCCTGGGCCCTGGACTGCGGTCTCGCGCGCCTTCCTCAGCTCTCCCCGGCGCTCCCCTCACACTCACTAGAGCAGCGCAGCGCCTGCCGCAGCACCTCGCGTCCGCACAGGTCGCACCAGCCGGGGCCGCCCCGCAGAGCCAGTTCCGAGAAGCGGTGTCCCTCGCCTCGCTCCGCCGGGACTCGGGGATCCTGCGGCTGCTCGAAGATGCTCCGGACGTCGCGGGGCCGGGGCGCCCCAGGCCGCCGCCGCAGTCTCTGCTGCAGACCCGGCCGGAGAGGGCGAGAGGGTCGCGAGGCTCGGGGCTGGGGCTCGGGGTCCCCCCGGGACCCCCTACGGGCGCCGCGCCCCTCATGCGCCCCGGGCGCAGTGGAGAGGGATGCCGGGACGCAGCGGCGCGAGGAGCGGCCTGGGGGCGGCGGCTCCGGGCCGCTCAGGCTCTGCAGATAACGCGGCGGCTCGGGGTCCAAGAGCAGCGGGTAGGGGCGCTGCCCGATGGCCGGGGACGCCATGGCCATGCCCGGCTGGCGGCGGCGACTCCTCCCGAGCCAGCCCGAGAGAAGGGGCGGCCCCAGACCCGCGCGCCTTTAAAGGGACCGCAGCCCGCAGGGCGGGGCGAGGGCGGGGAGACCTCGGAGAGGCAGGAAGGGAGACTCGAGGGAACGACCCACGGACTGAGGGTAGGACTGGCAGTGGGCAGGCCCGCGCGAGTGCGGATCTGGGGGCGTCTTCAGGAAGCAGAGTGCCTATTGGGGCGCTGAGGATTCCGCATAGGAAAGGCTCCAAACGACGCAACTCCGAGGCGCCTGTTTCTATAGGGTGCCCTCTGCCTTCAGCCAAGCCTCCTTCCCACCCACCCCCACACCGCAACCCAGCACCCGAGTGAGGGGCAGGTCGGCGGGCTTGGGAACTGGCTGCGAGGTGGCCGTCCTGGTGTCCCCGCCTCCAGGGGTGCCGCGCGCGTCCTCTGCTCGCCCATCCCTCCGCGCCCTCCCCGGCCGAGCCCGCGAGGGTCGGGAGTGCCCGATTGCGCTCTGGCGGCAGCGCCGAGTCGCGTGACGCGAGGGGACGCGCGCGCTCTGGACGCTTCCGAGCTGACCGCGGGGAGCAGCCTCCCGCGCCCACAGCGCAGTCCGCGTGAGCGGCCCTTCCCTCGGGTAGGATTTCCCCTCACTTAGGCTATTCCTCTTTCCCGGAAGACGCTCTTCTTTCCCAGAAGGCTGGGTTATGGTGATCAAGGTCCCTGGATCCAGAAGGCCCGTGCCGCGTGGGTTGGTGAGCTTTCTTTCCCTAAGCCAAACCCTCTTCCCACCTAGTTGCGGCGGAAACCCCAGGCCTCTTTGTACCTGCTTTGGGCGATTCACCTTCGGGACTCTTTCCTGCCAGCACCGGGACTTGCTTCCTGGGGCCCTGCCTGCTTTAAGGTTCTGCTGTCACCACCTTCCGAGTCTTAATTTTTGAACACAGGGCCGGGCATTTTCTTCTTGCCCCGGGTCCCAAAAATTACGTAGCAAGTCGTGAGCAGGGTGAGGAAGCGGGCAGAACCAGGACTCCTGGGTCTGGTGAACCTGTGTCCTGTTACCGACCAGCAATGACCTGGGCTGATTTGGTTAACTGTAATTTGGGCTGGGAGCGGGGAGGTGGGGAGCTGCTGCTGTCGTTCTTTCCAGGCCCCCTTTTCACGCCTTTCCTCTTACAACAGGGATTTGAATGGTTGATTTAGCAGCGGTTGCCTGAACCAGCTCTGAGAATACAGTCTCCCATCTGAACGTCTTGTTTCCTGGTTTTAGCCAAACGCTAATTGAAAGGATGTCGAAATAAAAAAATTAGGTCTGTAACTGAACAGGTACCGATTTTTACTTATACTTATTTCCATAAATAATACAATGTAACTACTTCCCTAACCTGTACATTGTAGTAACTGCTGCAAGTAACCTAGAGGTGACTAAAGTACACAGCGGATGTGTACAGGTCATATCCAAACGGTGTGCCATTTTCTATAAGGGACTTCAGCATCTGTGGGTCTGAGTATGGGAGGGTTCCGGAGCTAATCCACAAGCTCACCCCACCCAACCTCTGTGGAGGGAGGACCTTAGCCTAAATTCTTCCACACCTGAGTCTCTCCCTGCTGGTTCCCAGGCCGGAGATGGCTCTCCCCCTAGTGTCTGACAGGGGAATTCTCAGTTTTGCTTTTTATATTCCCCTTGGAAGTAATTTCTAGATAATTCCTAAAATTGTAGAGTCCAGTGATCAGGGAATTCCCGGTCTGCTTTGTTCCACAGCTTCACTCTCAGAGTGGTGGTAATCCAGGTACTCTTCTTTCAGACCTGGGTCCTTGTCCCTAGGTAGAGGGGAAGAATGGCCCTGGGGGTCCACACCACAGTGCTCTATGCAGGAGCTGGTCTGAGGAGCAGAAGCCATAAGCAGCCCCCTCTGCTCCATTCCTCCTCCTCCTGCCTCCGCCGCCTGCCGTTGTTCTCAAACCTTGGCGTGTGACACAGTCACCTGGAGGGCTTGTCAAAGCGCACCTTGCTGGGGTCCACACCCAGCGTTTCTGAGTCATAGATCTGGGGCTGGGAATTGAGGTTTTGCATCTTTAGCAAGTTCCCAGGCTGTTGGTCTTGCTGGTTCAAGGAACGCACTTTGAGAACCACTCTGTTCAGTTCCTGTAGAACTGGTAAACTTCAGTGGGAAATGGCTGGAAAAAACCCAACAGGGACTGTTCCTCAGGACTTTCTGCTGCATGTGTAAAAGGGAAAGCACAGTTTGTTTTTACGGCCTACTATGCCCACTGCTCCCAGTATTTTAGAACCAGGTCTCCAGGAGTTGCTGCTGAAACCCGCGCTGCGTGCTTGGGTCCACCCTGTGACGCACCCATCTCCGTGGGGTTTGCAGGCCATCTGGAGGTGGCTCCCTCTCAGGAGTGCTTTTCACCAGGGGAGCCTCAGGGCAGAGACCTGGCTTCAGCTCTGGGTAACCAACATTCAAGAAGCAACAGGGTTCTGACAAAGAGCACAGCACTGGAAGATCAGTTTTGAAAGGTCATTTATGAAATAATTGACAGTGGTCACCACCCCTGTCCTCCCCCACCCTCTGCCCCACGTTCCTGGCCTGGATTCCCTGGATGGAGAGGCTTGCAGGGACAGGCATCGTGGCTGGCATGGGGTGCTGAGGGCTTTTTAGAGCAATGCGGCAGACAGCCTTCCCGGTGGCCCTGGTGTCTGTTTTCTCACGGCAGCTCTGCTTTGGTGCAGTGGCCGTTGCTGACCAGGTATAAGGCCAGAGCCCCACATTTGGCATCCGGGATGGGAATAAGGATGTGACTGGAGATAATATAACTTCATGTAACCAAGCCAAAAAGTTTATCGAGTTTATCCTGAGGTTCATCTCCCTGAGCCAAAAAGTTGAGGTCAGGAGAAATTGTTGCATCTCCTAAACTCAAGAGGAGGCTCCGTGCATGGGACCTGCCTCTTCAGATGCTATCTTTGCAAGTCTCCTCCTCCTCAAAACAGTATTCCCTTCCAACACACACACACACACACACACACACACACACACACACACACACACGCAGCGCTTTCCTCCTTCACTAGCGCAGAAGTACTGCGAAAACCTCTAATCTACTTGCAGGTCAGGACATTGCCTGGGATAGCATCCGGTGCCTGGACATCATAATTTTTCTGGGAGCATGCAGGCTACAAGGGTAAGACTGCAGCATCTGCTGAACAGGACTGCTGGGAGTTTCCCCCTCTTGGCCCAGGGCTGTGGGCTTTTTTTTTCTGATTGTGACTCACTCAAAGCACAGTGGGTGTGCTGTTTTTATTTTTGACCAAGGGGAAGGATGATGGCAGTGGATTTGAGCATGTGGTCAGTGTGAGGTCGCTTCAGAGATGGTCCCAGGGTGTGTTGGTTTCCCTATTGAGTGGTTATTTCCAGGCTGTCCCCCAACCTCCCTCCCCTCCCCTCCCAGTAAGAAGGAAAAAGGAAGGACGGACATGGCCTGATTTTTTTTTTTTTTTTTTTGAAGGGGAAGCTTTTGGTTTTGTTTGGCTTTGAGGCATCTGAGATTACCTGAAATCCCCAACGCTTTTAGGGAGCCCTGGAGACCCTGATGGCTGTACAGCTACACACTTAGCATTATCGTGTCAGTCAGGACAAGTTAGGTTATGTTGTGGTAATAAACAAGGCTGGAATCTCAGTGTCTTTAGATAACAGAGATGCTTCCTTGCTCACATTGCATGTCCTGTGCAGGGTGACAGGGGCACTGTGCTCATTAGAGTCACTCAGGGACCAGGCTGGTGGCGAAGCCGTCCTATCTAACTCGACCAGTCACTGTGCCAGAGGGAGATGGAGAAAGCAGGAGAACTCACATTAGCATTTCAAAGCCTTGCCACCTCACTCAGTATCCTGGCCAGGGACAGTTACACGGCTGTGCCCTACCTCAGGGGGAGCATGGGGTACAGTCCCAGCTTGCCATCAGAATAGGGGAAGAGCTGGAAACCAAAGGCCAGTGCAGTCCTCAAGGGCATGGAGAAGTCACTCACTTAGCAAGCAGTGCCAGTGTGGGCGGTACAGGTGCGGCACAGAAATGCACGTGTCCGTGAAGCTCATATTTTAGTGGGACAGCCACATGACAAACAGGCATCATACGCACATTGGGCCATAAGTAATTTGATGACACATAAAGCGCATGAGAGGGATAGAAAGTAACAAGGGCTCCTTACAGTCTTCTGCATGGACAGGAAAGGCCTTTGTGAGGGGCCGACATTTAGCCCAGAGTGAACGGAGTAGGCCCTTTGTCGGAACAAGAGCATCCCCAGCTGAGGGCGCACGGGACCCTGCAGCCCCCAGTTTCCCAAACGCAGTGCACATGCGTTTGCTCTGATCATGGCTTCCCAGGCCTGCTGTCTAATGTATCCTGTGAGACTGTGAGCAGGAACAATGACAAATGCTGTTGGGAATTTAAATGTGCCTATAAAAAAATAAAAAAATAAATAAAATAAAATAAAATATGCCTAGGGGCTGGGGATTTAGCCTAGCGGTACAGCGCCTGCCTGGCAAGCACAAGGTCATGAGTTCGATTCCCGGTACCAGAGAAATAAATAAATAAATAAATAAAATGTGCCTATAAAAGCCCCCCTGGAAATGTAAAGTAGCCAGCGTTGCTCATTTACAAATGAGAAAACCAAAGGCTCACCGAAGTCACATGACCACTCCTAGCAGGCATCATCCCCTCAGATCCCTGACTTCACCGGCCAGCTTTGTAGGGGTAGTGTGAAGACACAGCAAGATCCTTTTCCAGTTTTCTCTGCTCCTTCACTTTCCAGGTCTGGCCCACACGCCAAGCCCTCCACAGAGCATTCCTAGAGTCACCCAGATGAACTCGTCACCACTTCTGGGCACCCACAGATCCCTGTGTCTCTATTTAATCTCTCTGACCCCTCAGCAAATAGGAGGTGCTTGTTCAATGAAACAAAGTCAGCTGTGGGCTCACTGCCACTGTCCTACCCTATAAGCCATGGTCCCAGCTCCTGAGGAATAAAACCCTGAACCCCTGAGCCCCTCTGGCCTGCGCAGAGGAAGGGGTGGTGTTGGGGACTCATTAGCAACTCCTGAACATCCTCTAAGGTGGGGGCACTGCATGGGTTTGCTGGCCAGGGCTAAGGGCCAGCTGAGCACCACCCTGGCTCTCAGGGAGATGGTCTCCCACCTCCAATGATCTCAAGGGAGTCTCCTGGGTCTTTGACATACTCGGGGGTAAGAAGGGCAGATGGCGAGGGAAGGTGACCAGAGATAAGGGGGCTCTGGAAAATGTGTCACTCTGTGGGGTGGACATGGGTGGGGTTCATTTCCCATCAGTCTAGTGGCGCCTCCTCCATCTGATTTCAAGCATGGAATTTTCCTATCTCGGCCACTCTGCCAAGCTTGGGCTAAGCCTGGTTCGTGTATCGTGCACGCGTGTGAGCATGTGCGTGTGGTCCTGTGTGTGTGTTTTCTTTCCAAGTTGGAAAACCTCTGAAACCAGGCAGCTTTGTCAGCGGCTTTTATCCCTCAGCCAGAGGGGAGCCTGCAAGCTGTAGACACTTACATTCCAGTCCCCGCAGGCTTGGGCCGGACTGGGGCAGGAAGCCGCAGCTGGGCGAGGGCAGTACAGCGACAGCCACAGCAGCGTCCTCTTGGCTGTCCCACCCCCGACCCCCACCCGTCTGCTCCTCCTCATCCTTTCTCCCTTCCCTCCTTCCTGCTGCTCCCAGTTCCTCCTCCTTGCCCTCGGCCTCCCTGCCTCTTTCCTCCCCTCCCTCCTGCTCTCTGGTGAGGGGTGCAGGGGAAAGATCCATGGTCCAAGCGGGAGTAACTTACTTCCAAGGAAAAGAAAGCTACTTCCAGTCATCCTGGCCCATTGCTTCCCACCCCCATGGGTGACTAAGGACCCTTCATGAGCCAGAGGGGGGAAAGCCAAGAATCACACCTTAAGAAAATCACTGAAGCTGCTTCAGGTGAACCCCAAATGGCAGCTTCTACTGAAGAGAGGCAGCCCCGTGAAAGCAAACGGTGGATGCAGAAGGAAACCCTTCCTCTCCTTAGAGTGGCTTCCCTGCCCCAGCTGTCAGGGAGGGCTGGGGCAGGGCTGCCGAGTCGAGGGACCTCGGCAGGACATCTGCAAACTCCACCTCAGTGCCCTCAAACTTCAGCTTGTGTAAGAACTGACAGGGATGCACCCCAGCAATGTGGGTTCCTGGGCCACACCCTCACCGACTGGGCTCAGGAGCTGGGTGGGGTCCTAGAATCTGTGTTTTGAATCTGGACACCAATCTACAAGAAGAAACTGTGGATTCTGAGAGGGAAATAGAACTCTAGCCTGGTGGCACCAGGGCACAGAAACGAGTACCAGGCCTCCCAGGTTGACGGTACTTCCAGCAGAGGGAGCAGGACACCCCATATCCCTAGGTTAGACCCCTTTTTAGCTTGGACAGGTCTGTTCTAAGAGGCTGTTCATGCCAGCCATGAACCAGAACACCCTGGATCTGAGCCCCCCACGAGCTGAGACCAGAACGTGTCTCTCTCAGTGGGCCTCCGAGACAAGAAGCGGGCACGGGGAGAACGTGCTAAGAACCCGCACTGGGCTTCGGCTCTTGCTATCCGTGACGTTCCACCTCCACACAGGCACCAGAGTGGCTACCTTTAAATACCGGTCGGACTTGAACTAAAACCTGTCCCAGGTTCCCAGGTCCTTTAGTGTGGCACCAGTCTTTTGGGGCCAGCTCCTCCCTTTCGGCAACATGATTTCCTACTTCCTGTTACTCCCAGGAATGTAGAAATACGTAGACTGTCCCACTCCTGGGCTGCTTCTGTCCTCACAGAAGCCAGTGACTTCCTTGGCTTCTTGGCAACTTATCTCTTCTCACTCCCTAAGATTCCACTCTGGGCCCATCAGACCGCAGTCACGCCCTGACCGCCCAGCCTGACACAGGCAGCCTGCCCTGCTGTGATGGTGACTGCATGTAGCACCCGGGCTCCTCATTCCTAGCATAGCACTTACCGGGTGAGGCTGGACTCATACCTGCTTCCCTGAGACCCGAGCTCCTCAGGGCTGGGTAAGGCTCTGCAGCTCAGCTCCTAGTCCTGTGCCTGGCCACTGTCACGCTCAGTTCCCACTGGATGAACTGAACAGGCTCTTTTCAAGAATCACTCCAGGGAAGAAAGAGAGGACTTACGGGGTCTTTAGACACCTGAGGATGTTCTGGGTCACGGACCTTGGTACACTTCCTCATTCCTTTCTGAGATGGAACCGGACGCTCCCTGCAGTTCAGATCAGTGGAGCCAACTGGAGCCTTTGAGTGTGTCCTCCACATCTCATGGGCTTGCTTATGAGGTCAGATCCTGGGTTACTTCCCAGACATCTGTGTTTGGCTCTCAGGAATACCCTGGCTCTCTCTCAGGGCCCCACCAAACACATGGGGTCCAGACCAACCACAGCTGCCAGGGAAAACCCACTGTGGGGCTTTCCTGCTGGGCCACTGATGGGCTCATCAGTGTTGGCCTCAACCTAACCCCGACAGAGCAGACAAGGGGTGACCCGGCATTCGGAGCATCAAAGCAGCAGCTGGTCCCTGAGATCCCAGAACTTGAACCCGTGGCTTTAGTGACCTGCTGGGCTTGAGGTCCAAAGAGCAAACTGGAAGCTCTTAGACTAGAGTCAAGCAAGCAGCCTCCAGGAGCTCTGCCCCAGGTTCAGAGCCTGCTGGTCTTTCCACGGAGGACCAGAGGCGCTGGAGTCGAAGCACTGAGAAGTCAGCCTCCAGGACTCGCCTCTGCCCACGGGTCACTGGGGCTGGAGCTCTGAAGACACGGAGGCTGCAGAAGGGCAGGAAGGGTCTCTGGGGCTATTTGGAATCAAGCACAGTGCTGCCTTAACATTCCAGAGTACAGAGTGGGGCTTCCCACCCCTCTCCTCCTGGGCTGCCTTACTGCGTTCCCCATTCCTTCCAGCAGCGCCCAGGCCGGGTGGGCGTCCAGCGCTGGGTAAGCGGCAGGTGGGAGGTAGCTATCTGCAGGGACTGTCTATATTTACAAGCCTTACCCAGGCACCATTCCAGCTTTACATGAAATGAGGGAAGGCTTACGATGACCCACAGCAGTACTAAACATTTAGCCCACAGCCTCGGTGGTAAATAGAGGTGGGGATGGGCAGAAGGAGCAGGCTTAGTGGTTTGAGGGGTTAAATAAAAGACTAAACTTTCTCCAGGCCCCATGCCCAGCTCCCCAGAGGACAGGGGCAGGAGAGCAGAGGGGAGAGAGGCCACCTTTCCAGCAAGAGGCCATCTGCCCTGGGCTCTGCACTAAAATTAGGACACATTAAGGGGAAAGGTGGAGCCGGGACTTGCCAGCCTGGCCGCATTTCCCCTGCATCTCCTCAGAGATCCCCACACAGCCCCCTCTGGCCAGCCAGCACGCCCAGCCGAGGGCCTCCCCCACTCAGGCGCAGCCCAGCAAGTGCCACAGCGAGCAGTCATGGCAGTGGCATTTATTCCACCCGGGTGGGTGCAGGCCTGTTCTCTGCTTTCTCTGGGCTTGGCCCCTCAGGGCAGTGCTTGTTGGCACAGTTACCCGTGGATGCCCCCAGCAGCACCCAGGACTGCGTGGCCCCTCAGAAAGAGAGGGAGAGGGAAGAGTCCCCAGAGAGCTGGCATCTGCCTCCACCCACCTTCTCAGCCTGAGCAGAAGGCCGGCGAGGCTCGGTCACCTGCAGCTGAGGGTGGTGACCCTCAGGAAGCACGGAGTGGGAGGAGACTGTTCCCTGTGAAACACTCGAAGAGGAAGGAAGACCTGTGGCCTGGGGCAGCCCTGGCCTCTTCTGTGGGCTCCTAGGGAGGCCCAGCCACCTCAGCCCTCTGGGCCAAGGGATAAGGATGAGGCACCGAGGCCCACCCAGTGGCGGCTGTCAGGGTTTGTTATGGTCCTGATGGAGATGGCCAGGGGCACAGGAAGTGGACAGTAATGCTGGGGACATCTCCTGGCTGTGCCAGGATGGAGGTAGTAGGCTGACGAGGGGACCAATCTTGCCCTGGGCTTGTCCCACAGGGTAGGAGAGCAGCTTGCAATGCATCTGAAGCTTCTAGAGGGCTCAAGCACCCCAGGGAGTTCAGACTTCAGGAGCGGATGGGGTTCTGCTCAGCCTGTAATGAGAAGCACAAGTTAGCTCGGCTCCTGGGTTGAAGGAGCCTGCAGACTGCACCCAAGGGCCCAGCAGCACCACAGCCTGGAGCGCCCAGCCCTGTGGGCTCCCAGCTCTCCTGCAGCACCAAGCACGTCTCTGCCGCTCTGCTTGGACTGCATGTCAGAATCACCTAGGGGTTTATAAATGTGCCTCGGTGGGATTCTGGTGTTCAGCTGAGCTTAGGGGAAGGGAAAGGAGGTCAAACCGGTTCATTTGGCTCTGTGCCTGCAGATCTGAATAAGGAAGTGAAAACTCACTAAAATAAAGTTTGCAAGGGGACTACATATCATAGCAAGAAAAATTTATGTCGGCACTAAAAATGGAACTTCCTGACCAGAGTGTTGTTTTGGAAAATCTTTCCAAGAAGCTTCAGACTCTCCCGCTGTGGACACTGAAGAAGATGGAGCCAGGCCTGGCGGCTCCTGTAATCTCACACTCTCAGAGGCTGAGGCAGGGGGCTGCAAGTTCAAACCCACTCCTGCCCACTGCCCCCAGGCTCCTTGCCTGTCTCAGCCTATTTAAGCCCCATGTTAACACCACAAGGTAGAAATTATCATTTCTGTTTCACGGAGGAGAAAACTGAGGTTCAAGGCTGAGCAAGTCTCCCAGAGTCACGCACACTAAGGAACAGTCAGGATCCAGTTCCCAGTGGGGGTCTCTGCTACCTCTTCTGCTGTGCCCCTGGTCCCCACATGGGGACAGGACAGACAGGGTGCGGAGAGGACATGGTGCTGCGGGTGCCGGTGTGTGCGTTTCTTTTGAGGTTGTTTGTGTGCTTTATGCAGTGTTCTCCCCACCTGGTTATGGGAGCAGCTGGCCGGTTTTCCCTTGTGACTTTTATGGGGTCCAGCCCCTCAGTGCCCGTGGACACTGTACATGAGAATTTATGGGGCACAGAGTCCAAAAGGCTTTGGGGGCTGCATCCATTCCCACCCACCCAGGAGGGGATCCCCACAGGGGGTGGACCAGAGTCTCCCTTGCAACCCCAGTGCCGTGAGTAGGGCAGGAGAGCAGGACCCTGGGGGCGGGGGCGGCATGAGCTACAGGCCGTGAGGCCCCGCGGTCCACGGTGGTTTGCAGGAGTGAGACCTGGGGACGGAAGCAGTGCCTGCTCTGAGGATGACCGTGGGGACGTTAGGAGGTGGGCAGGGAAGGCTCATGCACAGTGTCCACGGGCATTGAGGGGCTGGACCCAGATACAAATCTGCCTGCCTGCCTCACAGCCTCAGCTCTCTGACAGCACTGAGGGTTATGCTTCAAAGACTAAGTAAAAACCTGATGTGTAAACCAGCTGAGGTAGGAGGATCACAAGCTAGAGCCCAGCTGGGCAACTCAGTGAGACCCTGTCTCAAAATAAAAAGTTTTAAAAGGCCTGGTGATGTAGCTCAGTGGAAAGGCCCTGGGTTCAATCCCCAGTACCCACATATGGAAGGAAGGAAGGAAGGAAGGAAGGAAGGAAGGAAGGAAGGAAGGAAGGAAGGAAGGAAGGAAGGAAGATGGAGCGAAACCGATAGCTCCTCTGGATGGCAAACTCACCTGTGGACCAGGCCTGTGCTGCAGGTGCCTTTAGCCTGCATGGGGCCGTGCGGACTCCGCACCCCAAGGACAGTGGCTGGAGGACCCAACCCTCCCGACACAGCGGGGCCTCCTTACCGTTCAATGATGCGGTTGTTGTCCTGGAGGTCAAAAGTCAGCAGCTTCATCTCCTCGTAGAGCTCCTGCATGCTGTGCAAGGCAGAGGCCAGAGAGGCGGGTGAGGCCAACGTCCCAAGGCACAGACCTGGCCCAGGGCCCCACTCAGGCAGTGTCCAGGCAAAACAACTCAGCCTTGAACTCAGCAGCCTTTGAACTCTCACATGCAAATGCACACACACCACACACACACACACACCACACGTACACGGCACGCACACTCGCCCCCTTTGGCACTTACTGCATAGCCAGGTCCTTCGGAGCAGCGCTGGGAGGGGGAGTTGCGGGTGGTGGTGAGGTCTCAGCCCTGGGGGCCCTGTCTTGAAGGAGCTGGTCAAGGATCTGCGGAGAAGCCATCGTTAGTCAGAAGGGTTTGCCAGCTTGTGTGTGGATGGGCAGGATGCACTGAGGAAGAGGGCGACAAAACTGCCCCAGCCTGCACCCCCAGAGTCCCCAGAATTGTCCCGCCTTTCCCACAAGGCCTCCCTCCCATCCAGAAACACAGCTGGCATTATTCTCCCTTGTCCGTGCTCCGACTGAAGGATCCAGGCTGCCCAGTTCACCTTTGTGTCTAACCTAAGCCTCTCGTGACACATCCCGAGCTGGTCTCTGATAGCACGAAGTCACTGCTCAAGGTGCAAACAGGGAGGCAGGAGGAAGAGGGGGTCCCCGGGAGGAGAAGCCCCTCTCCAGCCCCATGACCAGCACCCATAGCCCTGCCCTTGCCCTTTGATCTGAGATCTCCAGTGTGTTCCAGACATGCTCCATCCCCATCTCCGGGCACATTGTAAGTGAGAGACCTCTAACCGTGCAGAAGTCCTTGGGCTTGGTCAAGGCAGCTCCATCCAGAGGGGGATGATCCCCATGCCCACGGGGCACCCAAGAGGCTCCCCTCCACAGCCCCTGGGGGCCCTGCAGGCGCACACCTTGCTCAGGTTCTCCTGGGCTCCCTGGGCTTCCGTGTTGCAGGTGGCCACAGACCAGCCAGCCCGGCGCAGTTGGTTCCTGGTTGTCTGCACCTCTCTAGAGAAGGCAGGTAGAGGTTAGAGTAGAGCAGGACCCTGCTCTCACCTCCCAGGGTCCCCAGCTGTCACCGGGCCACCATACAGACACCTGTGGGCCCCAGGCATTTGCCTCCCTCGCTGCCTCTGCCCTTCCAGGTGTGGCCTGGCTGTCACCTGCCCCACTTTCATGCAGCAGACAGGACAAGGCCAGCTTGTCACCGGGGCTGAGTGTAGGGCTATTTGCTCTTTGCATAGAGAGGAAACTGAGCCGTTAAGCCCATGGCTGGTTCTCCACCTTAACTCCACGGTAGGGTCACCAAGAGGAGCTTTTAATGTCTTGTTGTCCACGCCCTACTCAGGCTTTGGGGATGCTAGGGACAGGGATCCGGGCACTGGGATTGTACCATGAGGCCCACAGGTCACACAGCACTTAGGAAACCACCCCCTCTTCTCAGGGGGGCCTGGGTTCACACACTAGGAGAAGCAGGGGCTACCTGAGAAGGAGCCCCCAAACTCCCGGAGGCACAGGGGTGAGAGGAGTCTGTCAGTGGACACTGCCCACCCCTGTTCCGCACCCACTTGGAAACCTAGAAGCTGCTTGCCCCTGTCTCAGCAGGACTTGGAGCTCTCATCAGCAAGGACGGAGGAGACCAATGACCTGAGCCTCAGTTCCCTCATCTGTCAAATGGGGCAATGCCGTCTACTGTACAGAGTAGCTACTGTGGACTAGATCAGCAAATCTGGAGAGATCACCCAGCAGACACCTGGTCTCCCGGGCCCACAAACCCACATTCCTCCTACTTCTTCCTGCGCTAACTTCTCTCTCCGGGTCCTCTGTGGCCCTAGGGCCTTCGAGTTCAGGGGAAGGGCCAGGCCATTACCTCATCCACTTGCCGTGTGTGACCAGGGATGCCTGATACTTCTGCACACACTCCTCCTGGAACACCTGCAGGAGCCTCTTGGCTAAATGACTGAAATTCACCCTGGAGGGACAGAGAAGCGCGGCCCCCGCATGAGTAGCTGCGGCCACCTGTGCACCAAGCTCGCGTCTCTGTCTCTCTCCACCATCCCTGGCTGGGCGGGGGCTCCAGGGAGGGAGGAGACAGTGACCACACACGGACCTGGGAGGCCAAAAACCAGTGAGGCAGATGCGTGAACAGGTGGACAAGGAAGAAGGACAAAGGGCCTGGGGAGGTCACATGACACTCATGCTGGGCCAGGGGAGGGAAGGACAGGCAGGTGGGAAACACCTGTGTGTCGGGGCAGGTGGAGAACTGCGAGCCTCGCGCTGACTTAGCTCTGCGGCTTTCCTCCCCTTCCTCTGGCCCCAGAAACCCATCCTGGACACAGCCACGGCCGGGATCAGGACCTCCCCCTTCCCATACGCACAGAGCACCGCCGCCAGGGGTCCGGTCACTCACTTGTCCAGCTTGTGAATCTGTTCCTCATTGTAGTTGAGCCCTGCAGGAAACAGTCGGGAATGATGTCACCCGCTGAAGCGGTCCAGACCATGGAGTGCCCCAGGGTAGGGGACAGTTACACGGACGCAGACAGCCAGGCCCGAGGCCCCATTTTGGGGGAGCCCACAGCCAGGAAGCCAGGAAGGGCAGAAAGAGCAGAGGCTGCGCAGAAACCTGTACAGGCTCCTGAGGAAGGCGCCTGTGTGAATGGCCCCTCGCCTCACACTCGCAGGTGGCTAATGTCCACAGCCGACTGGCCCCATCCCTGCAGTCACTCTGCAGACACAGCCAGGTGGCTCTGCAGCCATGGGCTGGCGAAGTTAGGCCACCACCCCAGCCTCCCCCTCTATGCCCAGCCACTTTTGCCACAAGGGGCACTTTTGCCAGGCAACCGCAGTTTTGTGGGCACACCCACTATGGCCTGTAGCCTGAAGGGCCCTAACGCTCAAGTGCTGGGAGGTGCTGCCCCCTGCTGGACTCCAAGGGAATGGCCCTCCTGCAACCTGAGGTGACTGGTTTGAGTCTTCCCATTCAGCTGCCCTAATAGCAGGACCCCCTTTCTGGGCCTGCAGCGGCTGAGCGCACTTGTGGTGTCCGGAGATCTGGCACAAGTCCCAGCCCTGCCTGCTAATAGCAAGTGACCTGGCCTCACAGGGCCCATGTCTTCCTCCATTACACACACCACACAGCATTCCTGAGCAGATCGCAGGAGAGGCTGCTGGGAAAATGACTCAGCCTTTTCCAGGGGCTTTTCCCGCTTTCTGTACAGTACTAGTGATTGAACCTGGGGCTTTTCTCTGAGCTGCAGCCATAGCCCTATGTTAAATTTTTATTTTAAGACAGGGTCTGGCTGAGTTTGCCTCAGCTGGCGTTGAACTTGAGATCCTCCTGCCTCAGCCTCCCTAGTAGACAGGATTACAGGCATGTACCCCCACACCGGCTGGAATAGCTTCTTTCAACATTCCAGGTGTGGCCAGTTAAGGGTTCATTTCTGATTTTAATAAAGGATCTGAAAGACCATGAGAAATAAAAGTCTTGGGCCAGGGATATAGCTCAGTGGCACAAGTGCCTGCCTGGCAAGCACAAGGTCCTGAGTTTGATTCCCGGTATCAAAAATAAAAAAAGTCTTCTGAGGCTGTCAAAAGGCTGTTAAAACCAGTGGGCCTACACTGCCTGGGTTTCTTCACCTTTCTGTGTCTCAGTTTTCTCATCTATAAAATGGGGAGGATAGGGTGCCTACAGTCTCTATGGGCATTAAATAATGTAAAAACACCCATAGCCCTTAGGATGGGTCCTGGCACCAGGGAAGTGCTACAGTTTTGAGTGTCAGGATTGTGGACTCCTAGCCGTTGAGGTCTGAGGTCACTACAGAGGTGGTCAACTGGGCATGGAGCAGCCTGGAGGCAGCATATCCCCCGCAGACCTGCACGTCCACTGCGGTGGCCAGCCGACACCCACAGCCAGAGTCCGCGGCACGGCTAGCGCAGCTGAGGACCTAGTTTTACTTGAATCAATTTAAATTTTAAAACTAATGCAGGGGCTGGGGGTTTAGCGCAGCGGCACAGTGCCTTCCTGGCAAGCGCAAGGTCGTGAGTTCGGTTCCCGGTACCGGAAAGAAAAACCAAACCCAAAGAAACCTCCCAAAATAAAACTAATGCAGTGTAACATATCTTTCCCATTACACATTGCTGTCTGATTTTGTTAAGACTAGATTTTATTTTGTGAAACGTTCACCTTCCAAATAGAAGTTCACCTGCTGTAAACGTGAAATACACTCGGGGTTTTGAAGCCTCGGCACAGAAAACAAACATAAAATCTCTCTTTAGTAACCTTGTTTATGTTGATTGCATCTGAAGTGGGGCTATATTGAGTTGAGTAAAATATGTTGAAATTAATTTCACCTGTTTCCCTCTACTTTCTAATTTGGCTATGAGAAGCTGGGCGTGGTGGTGCATGTCTGTAATCCCAGCACTTGGGAGGGGGAGGCAGGAAGATCGCCTCGAATGTGAGGCCAGCCTGGGCTACATAGTGAGACCCTGTCTCAAAAAAATAAAACAAAACAAAATAAAAAATGAAAAAAAAATTGGCTATGAGAAAACTTAACCATATATGCGTGAATGGCGCCCCTGCGCAGAGTCTTTGTGAGGACTAACAGATAACTCGGGCAAGATGCATGGCCCAGTGGCTCTAAGTGGGGCTTTTCTTGATCCCCCTCTGGAAAACCTGTCTGCCTCACTGCCCCAAAGACAGTAGACAGGAAAACACTCCATAAACTATAACCTGCCCTTCCCTAGCAAGGGCTCCCTGTCAGGGCTATTTCTCTTTTGTTTCGTCAGTACTGGGATTAAACTTGAGGGTTCACATAAGCTGGGCAAGTGCTTGACCACTAAGCTACATCCTCAGCCCTTTTTGTTTGATTTTTAGACAGGGTCTCCCTAAGTCCCCCAGGCTGGCCTCAAATTTGTGATCCTCCTGTCTCTCTGTTTCCAGAGCAGCTGGGATGACAGGTGTGTACGCCCCCACCCCATGCCACCTAAACTCTCCCAAGGCCATGGGCAGAGTGCAAGAGTTGCGTGTCACTCACCAGCCTGCAGGCAGTGTGACAGTGGGGACCCGGCCTTGGACCAGCTGCACCAGGCACCCCACTGCTCCACCTGCACAGTGGCCCCCAGCAGCCCTGGAGGGAGGACCCACAAATAACAGGAGGGCTGCCAAAGGGCTCACCTGGCCTCATTCTAGATTTCTTGAACTGTTTGTAGATGAGGTGCATCTTGTCCAGGCAACTCTGGATCTGCTGGGTGCTGTGGTGGAGGCAGGAAGAATCAAACAGTACAGCAGCACAGTGTAAAGACAAGGCTACAGTGGCCGAGAGTGGGCGTGGCTGTGCTGGCCCTGAGCTTGGGACGCCTTGGTTCTCCCTTCCCCCATCTACTCATCCACACAGCGGGAGCCAGGTTAGAGGAAGCCAGGCAGCTGCCACAGGGGGGCAGTGTTTGCTACCCCGGAAGGTGGGGAGGTCCTGGAGCAACCAGGATAGAGGCAAACAGGACTCTCCCCTGGTCACCCGCCAGGCCAGAAGGATCTACCTTCCTGGACTACCCGGAGCCTGGTGCATAGAAGGAACTTAAAAAGAACAAATCCACAATCTCATTTAGAACAACAGACTCAGTGGAGCTCAGCCGGGCCTGCAGGCAGGGAATGAATGGGGAGGTGACCTCGCAGGACTGAATGGGGAGGTGACCTAGCAGGACTCCCACATCCTGGGGTTTAGTCTGGGGTTTAAGGTCAGGACTGTTTCTTGCTTCCCCTTTCTAGGGCTGACTCAAGCACTTTGGGATGCTGGGGTGCCCCTCCTCACCCCCCGGGGCCACACTCCACTTCCTCCTGAGGCTCCTCTGGTGAGCCCAACTCAGCTATTTTGGAGCTGACTACTGGCTAGGCCAGAGCACAGGGTACCCCGCACTTGGCCACCCCGTGCCTGCCCTTCTGAGAACATGGGTGGGGGCCAAGGTGGGGGACAGGGCTCGGGGCCAGGTGGGCTCTGAATTCAGAAACATCTTCCAGTCTCAGGGCTCAGAAGCTCAGGGAACAGACAACCTGCTGTGCACCCCCGGGGGGCGGGGGTAACGCCCCAATCTATAGTCACCCCTTCTGAGAAACACAGGGTTCTCCCTCTAAGGGGGTAAATGAAGACTGCACAGAGCCTTATGTCCGTTAGGCCGGGTTTGATGGTATTTTCAGAGAGTTGCATTTAGAGCTGAGGACACAGATTGCAGCTCTAGGATGGGGACCGGGGACCCGGGACCCTGCCCACCCCGGTGAGGGAGGCTGTGCCTGCAATACATCTACATCCACTAGGGGCGGCGGTGGACCTTTTCAAGGTTTGTGAGACAGGAGAACGGGATTTTTAAAAGGTGGCAAATCCCCACCTGCATAGGCCAAGAGTACGGTCTTTGGAGGCAGACAGATGTGACCTGCAGCCCCACCTCTGTGACTTGTCACACCACCGCAAGGGGTCCCTGTCCAGGGCTATTTCTCTTGTTTCCTCAGTACTGGGGTTAAACTCAGGGGTTCACACATGCCAGGCAAGTGCTCTACCACTGAGCTACATCCTCAGCCCTTTTTGTTTGATTTTGAGACAGGGTCTCCCTAAGTCCCCAGGCTGACCCCAAACTTGTGATCCTCCTGCCTGTCAGGACAAATTGACCCCACAGAGGGAGGGGCATCCTCCTCATAACCAGATGTTATTACATCACTGTTGCTACAGTGGGAGGGCCTGGAAAAGGAAGGGCGGAACCGTGGCCCTGAGAAGATTCCCAGATCCTCAAGTTCCTGGATATGCAGGGGACCCCAGACCCTGTCATCCTGCCAGCTGGTCTCAGGGAGGGGCTGCTCATTCCTGTCCTAGCACCTTGCCAAGGGCAAGGAGGAAGCGGGTGGGCTTCTGCAAAGGCTGCTGGACACTTAGGGATGCTCGTCTCCCAGCCTCCACCCCACAAATCAGGAAACTCCCACAGACCTTCTGTCTTCATGTACCTGATCCCGGTTCTTCGCCAGCTCTGAGCTCAGGTGGCCCAGGCTCACCTGGGTCTCTGCAACATCTTGGGAACATCTGGAGAGGACCGTAGCCAGCTATGGGGCAAAAAGGCAGACATCCGTGGGATCCTCTCCTGAGACGCCCCTGGCAGTCTGGCTGGGCCCCTGGCCCCTGACCCACCCCAGTGCACTCACAGTCTGCAGCTTAGACCTCAGCTCTGTGGCCCTCTTCAGTTCCCACATCTCGGGCACCTCAGGCGTCCTGGCTGTGCTGCTGGACCTTGAGAAAAGGATAGAAGATGCATTTGAGGAGGGAGCCAGAGAGCTCTTTGACCATTGCTGAGCAGGGCATCCTTGGGATGGGTCCCGGGAGAAGGGTATTTTGTGTCTGGGAGAGGAACCAACTGGAAGGGGCCCATACACCAAAGTGTGACACTACTGAGTACTGCAAAGAATAAAACACTGGATTCAAACTCCTTGAGCCCACAAAAATGTATGAGTGCAGGTGTCTGCAAATTCACCCTCATCAGGAACGTGTGCAACTAGACAGAAAGAATGAAGCTCCTTTCCAGTAGAAAGTATTCCATGGTAGCCAAGAGTTTACTGATAAAGGAAATCCATCTTTTGTAGACTACGAGACAATAGCCTGCTAGGACTTGGAGTGTCCACTTCCTGCTGGCCCCAGTGAAATGATTAAGGAAAAACACATCTGTACAGAGGAAGGGTCAGGCTGTCCCCACCCAGTGGTGTGGTGACGTGATACCCCCAGCACCGTCCACGATGCACTGCAGCACAGAGCGTAGCTTGAATCAGTGCAGCCTGCAGTGCTCCTGAAGTACAGGGAGTGCCAGAAAAGAAGAACAAGCCAAAAAGCACCAAGAGGAAACTCCAGACAAGTCTCCAAGATGGGACAGTGGCCTTGGTCCCTCCACTAAGCCAGAGGCATGAAAAGCAGGAAGCGGAGGAAGGGAGTCTATGCTGGATTCAGATATAAAGAACGCCACAGCCAGGTACAAGCGTGGTCTGGATGGGGACCTAGTTTGGAAATGAGAGGTAAAGGGAACTTTGGGGCATCATCAGAAACATTTGAAAAGAGATGAGCACCAGATGAGCTCAGACTACATTGTCACAGAGGGGCAAGCTCATTTGCCAAGAATAGCAGAGTATAAAATAGCAGATACAGAAAACTCGAATGTTGGCTAGTAGGTATGTACATCCCTTTAGAGTAGGAAGCTATGTACTAGCAAAGGACATACCAGTAAAGTGTGAGAACCTGTCTCTGGGACAGTGGGTGATATTTTTGCTTTTGCTTAGCTGTACTTTCTAACTTCCTACCATTGACATGTATATTTAAATTTTTTTGGTTTATTGATTGATTGCAGTATTGGGGATTAAACACAGGGCCTTTGCCCTGAGCTATATCCTCAGCCCCTTTCCAATCTTTTGAGACAAGTTCTCACTCAATTGCCAAGTTGCCAAGGCTGGGATCAAACATTCGATCCTCCTGCCTCAGCCTCCCAGAGTGCTGAGATTACAAGCGTGTGCCACTCTGCCCTCATCACCCAGCCTAACATATGCTTTTTAAATAACAGTTAAGAATGAAGAGCCCCACATGCTTTGGCTTGGAAATGGAGGGTCAAGGAGGGAGGAGGAGGCAGCGGCCAAGTAGAATCAGGAGTGAACCCCAGACACCCATGAAGGCTGGGGTGCTATCTGCTTTGCCACCTGCTATCCTGAGGGCTTGGCAAAGAGCACGCGCGTGCGCACACACACACCTGCATGCACGCACACGCACGCATGTGTGCACACATTCGCACATGCACGCACACACACAGCAGGCACAGCTGAGCCAATGGTTGTACACACGGTGGCCTGGGACCTGGAACATTTGACGGCAGCATAGGATGAGGCTGAGCCAGCATAACCCTATGGGGGGTCAGGAACCCTAGGTTTGAATCCTGGTCCTGCCGGCCACACGTGCTGTCCTTATGGCCTCAGGTTCTTCATCTATGAAATGGAAGACAAATTTCTTTCCTGCTACAAAGGTGTTTGCGGGGCCCCAACAGGACCTCAGGGATACAGGGCTTTTTGAGAGAGCAAATTTATATGAACACACACATTTTTGGGAGGGAGCTAGAGGAAGCCTTGGCATCCCCAGAGCCAGGCCTGGCTGTCCAGATGGTAGCTCTCGGGGAGCAGCAGCCGCTGAGGAGGCAGAGTTGCCTGCCCAGGACCTCCGTTCCCTCTCCCTGTACTTCCCATTCTGTCCCCTTCTGACTCTCTCTGGCCAGGACAGTTGTCACTGTCTGTGGCTCCAGCACACCCCACAGCAGTCTCTCCATGCTCCAAGGCCTCTTCCTCTGTCTCCGCATAGACCTCCCAGCTAGGGGCTCCCTCCTCTGGCCTTCATAGCCTCATCTTCCAGGAAGGCCTCCGTGCTGCTCTGCCCATCTCTGCAGTGCCCTGCCCGGCTCCGGTCACCTTCATGTGCTGGAAGGGCAGCACTGGTCCTCCACCTGACGCCACACCCATCCCTGGACTCCTTCTAGTAGGGGGAGGTATTTGGAGAGACCCATCAGGTTCTGCGGGAGGATTCCTCCTCTGCCACCGTCTGAAGGGGCTCGGCCATGATGGAGGCCCTGCCCCTGTCACCCAGAGATGCTCCTCTTCCTCCTCCTGTGTTCTCACTGCCTCCACCTGCCCCAGCAGCAGTGTTGCACTGCCAAGAGCCAGGCAGCCACACTGGGCATCCCCTGCACCCAGGCTGGGAGAGGCACTTCCGGCCTGACTGGGGGCACTTCCGGCATGGCTGGGAGAGGCACTTCCTGGCATGGCAGCAGTGTCTGCACCCATCTCCTCTCAGTGAGTAAGGCTGCAGCTGCCTCGGGCTCCTGGACTCTGGGGCTGCTCCTGCTTCTCAGCAGTGCTCAGGCCATGGAGTCTTCCCTCGCTTCTCATCCCCAGACCCTCCAGCTCTTCCCCAGAATCCTTTTCTACACCACCATCCCTGTGTAGTCCAGGACAGGAGACCAGAAGGCGTGGGGTTCCAAGGATGAGTGGAAGACCCAGGGCAGGCATTCGCAGAGGCTGGAGGGTGAGACCACTGCATTTCCACCCTGCACTGTGTCCACAGACTGTGGCGTGAGTGCCTCCCCCTGGGTCCTGCTCTGGGCCTTTGCACAGGGTGCACATCCAAATCAAGGAGAACAGAGATGCCTTCCTGGGGCAGACAGGTTGCCCTGTCACCCTAGAGGGCAGCAGCTTGGCAGGGAGGGAGGGTGAGTCATTTAGCTGGAGGCAGGGCTGAGGGACAGACCAGGGCACCCTCTCTCCCTACGCAGGTAGGGAAGGGCTGGTGCATCACTGGGTATCAGGAGACAGGAAGAGAGACAGAAGGGCTGCGGGGGTCTCAGTTGGCCTGTGCAGGACACCTACCTCTCGGTGGCCAGGCTGCTGCTGAGGAAGAGGAGGCCGGTCCTGGCGACCTCCAGGGTCTGCCTGCACGTGGCCTGGAGCACCTCCCTGCCCGAGAGGAGCTTGAGTTAAGGCCACCTTGTCCAGGGTGCTGGTGCAGAAGGGCTCCGGATGGTCTGCCACGTGGTCCCTCCCCATCACCCCGTCCTCATGGCACTCACACGACCCAGTGCAGCCCCCGAAGCATCAGCTTCTGCCCATTCAGCAGAGCCCGTGCCAGCCGCAGTGCCTGGTGACCAGCGCCCAGCACACCCTGAAACACACAGGAGGGCAGGGTCTAGTCCCACACCTTCCACCCCCCGTGCCATACACACCTGACCACCTGGGGGCTGTTCTCACCTTAGCAGTGCTGTAATCTGCCTGCAGGTCCACTTTGGGGACGAACTTGGGGATGTCCACAGCAGCTGCAAAGACCCTCTGTGAGTGACCTGCCTCTACAACCTGGGTTAGCTTCCTTGTTCCTGGTGCACACTCCCCCTCACCTGTCATTGCTGATCTCCCACCCCAAGCTTCCTAACTCACCCAAAGCCCCTACCTTCCAAACCGCGTCCAGCAGGTGGGCCTTTCCAGATGCAGTTGTTTGCTGCCACCTTGGGGACATTTTGAAACTACACCCTAATGCCCCATTTCAACAGTAAGAAACAGGACTAAATCTTGCTATTGCTCTTCAAGATTAATGTCCTTTCCCCACCTCAGAGGAGAGGGATGAAATTGGGGCAGCATTCTAAGGAGAAGGAATGACATTTCTGCTAGAACTTGGAGAAAGAACAAAGCTGGATCCTTGGCCACCTGCCCTTCTTCTAACACAAACACCCTGCACTAATCAGAGAGATGGACAGCGTATTAAATGCTAATGTCCCTGTTTCAATGAGAGTTTTTACACAGCTCTGAGGACCCCTGGAATCCTACATAGGTTATGTGGCGTTTTAGAGGCATGGGCAGAATTAAAACCCAGACCTGCCTCTGTACCCTGTGGGCCCAAAGAAACACTCAAAAGGAAAACTGCCCTGGACTGCGAGCCCCTGCGTCGTGGAGGAGAACCTCACCAGGACAAAAGACCCAGCCCGGGTGGCCCTACTCACGGTCCCTGAAGGTCAGACCCTTGGGGGTGTCACTGGCCATGCTGAACAGGGTCAGGGGGCTGCTGGCAGTCGTGTGGCCGATGTGCTGTGCTGAGAGGCTGGGCTCGAAGACACAGAGGTGACCCTCAAACAGGTACTCTTGGTGCTGGGGGGCCACATTGGTCTGCTCATATACGGCCTCCAGAAAGATGGCGATCCTGGGCATGGCAGGGAGATGGTGCGGGAGGGGGTGGAAGGGTCAGCAGCCAGATGGAGGGTTGGGGGACCAAACCCCAGCCAGAATTTTGCCTGTGGAGAAGGCTCGGCTTCTCAGTGAGAGGGACCGGGGTGGTTCTCTCCCTCACTGAAGATGGAGAGATGAAGGGCGGGGTTCACGTCCTACAGACAGGATGGGAAGGCGATGCAGAAGTCCCAGTGCCCAGCATCTGCTCTTGTACCTGTTCTTGTTGCTAAAATTCTCCTAGTCCCATAAAGCATTCCACGAAGTGCTTCAGAAAATGTACCACACACACACATGCACACACGCACACACATATCTACACCTATACCTACACCCCTGGGACTTATAATACACATTAACCTTTGAAAGGACACTGAATCTCTGAGGCGTAAGCAAGGAAACCTGCCTACCTCAGTGGAACTAGTACTTTTCCAAACTCAGTTTGGACCCTGAAGCTTTCCTGTCTACGATGTCCCCAGCTGCATGCAAGTCCTTCCGGAGATCCTGCCTGAAGCAGTGGCTGCTCCTCTGGTGGAGAAAGTATCCTCCCCCCCGCAGCTCACCCCCACTCACGTGTTGTGGGCGTGGATGTAGATGTGGTGCAGGATGGACTGGGACAGGGAGAAGACGTGGACTACGACCCGCTGCAGGATGTTACTGGTCTCTGCAAAGAACTGATCGAAGCCCCAGCACTTGGCCTCTTCCACCTCCAAGATGTTGGCCAGGATGGGTACCAGCTGGCTCTGCAGGCCCCTGCCCTCCCAGGACATGAGACTGTCAGGGGCTGGGACAGGATGTGTCCTGCTTACGTAGCTATGGGGGGTTCCCAGGAGAAGCCCAGAGGGTCCCGGACCCAGATGGCATGGCAAGACAGGCTGAGGAGGAATTTCTGTAAAACCCAAGGCCACAGAGACAGCGTGGTGGACCCAGCCTGCAGCAGGCATGGGCTGCACGGGGCCGGGCTCTGGAGTTTGGACTCATCAGAGAAATGGTGACCACTCACATGGACAGCTGGCAGGTGACGGGGAGGCTGTAACTCCACTCCAGGGGCCCGTTTTCCCGCTTCTGTGCACCTGCGATGGCCCCTGCTGGCTTCTCTGTGGTGATCCGGTACCTGGGGCGGGCAGGACCAGGTCAGCAGGAGCCCCAGAGCCCCATACACTTCTAATGGCAAGGAACTCGGCAGCGGGCTGGGTCCATTCTAGGCTGAATGTGGGGCCACACAGCTGGCGCCTGGGCTGAGGGTGTGTGCCTTGACCTCCCTGTTGATCCACCGACAAAGGGACATTCTTCACGGGGCCATATTTGGAGGCAAGGGCCAGAGGATTGGGGGCCGGAGAGGTCATCAGTGGAACCGTTTCACATTTTGGAAGGGACATGGGAACCTTGATTTAACTCCATCTCATCCAGCTGCTAGGGCTACAGCACCGTTTCTGTAGCTTTCTGGGATGTGAACCCAGCCTGTCTGGAAGTGGCAGGTCCAGCCTGTGGCCTGCTCTACCCCACAGCTCTCCTCTTATCCCACCCATTAGCCAAAGCCCGGGTCGGCTCACCATGCACAGCTTGTGCCTTCCTTCCCTGAAGTTCATATAAATACTCTTAGCTCCAGGTCCAGTGGCCGTTTTTGCACCTGCCCCCTAACCCGTTGTGGAGCTTGTCCCAGGACCGGTCCTTTTCCTGGCTAGCCTCCTTCCTGGCTCCACGTTTCAGAGGCTCTGCAGTTTTGCTGCGATGGCATCTTAAATCTCTTTCTTCTGGGAAGTGCCCTCTGGGAGCAGCTCCTGTCCCCAGCTGGAAACCAGAGCCAGGCCTTGGGCCTTGGAAGCTAGCCCCACCTCCAGCCAACGTGGCTTTGGATAGATCTCTGAGATCCTCCACAGAGGGAATGGAGGAAGGGAGGAGGGAGTGTGCACCAGGCGGATGCAGAGGGAGGCTGAGGCAGAAGGACTGTGAGTTCAAGCCCAGCCTTGGCAACTTAATAAGACTGTTTCAAAATAGAAAAGAAATGACTAGAGAGGTAGCTTGGTGGTAGAGCACCGTGGTGTTCTCAGTAGCAGAGAGAGAGAGGATGGAGGAGTGAGGTCACCCATCCACAGAAGCATGCACCTTCTAGTCTGATCGATCAACTATCAAAGGCACTAAAAGAGCCTAGTGTTGAGGGGAAGAGCAGACAGTGCCCCGCGGGGCCAGGCGTCGCCCCAAGAACATCCCAGCCGAACCCCTCATTGCTTGCCACATACATGATCTCCTTGTTGCGCCGCGGCCCTCCGAAGGGGACAAAGGGCAGGCTGCCAGTGGCTGCATGGTACAGGGTCACCCCGATGCTCCAGAGATCCACAGTCACCCCGAACGCCTTCTGCTGGGGCTTGTGCAGCACCGCCCGCTCATATATGTTGGGGTGCTATGGGGAGAGGCCCCCACCCATCAGACCCTTCCATGGCCTTTCAGCTGTCATCCCAGCACTGGGGAGGCTGAGGCAGGAGGATCACCATAAGTTTGAGGCCAGCCTGGGCTATATAGTGATATTAAGGCCAACCTGAACTACATAGCAGGACCCTGTCTCAAAAAAACAAGGAGCTGTCACCTGCACTGGGGCAGCTGGGGGCCAATATGTCCCTCCCTCCTCCATTGGGGTCCAGCTGGCTGGGCCAGTCAGTGATCTCCACTGTTCTAAAGATTAGGGTGGGATGCATCCTCCTGGCTGGGTGCAGGGCTGAGCTGGGACCCTGCAGACCCCCTCCTGCAGGAGGCACAGGCACTGTAGGCAGCAGTCCCTGGCAGGTCACCCACCAGGTACTCCTCCGTCCCGTAGACGGAGATGAACTTCTCCTCATCATCCAGCTCGCGGGCAGCCCCGAAGTCTGTCAGCTTGTAGATGCTCTGGCCCTCCTCCCCGACCAGGCGCATGATGTTCCCCGGCTTGATGTCCCGGTGGACGATGCCATTCTCCCTCAGGTGGTTCATGCCAGCCACTGGGGACAGACAGGCCTGGAGCTCATCTCAGGAAAGCCAACACGGGTCCCAGTGGACAGGCACTCCCGCAGGCCGACAGGGCCACAGCAGAGGTGGAACAGAGCCGGGCACAGGGCAAAGGAGGGGTCCCAAGGCCACCGGGCTCCCCTGGGTTCTCTGTGAAACCCAGGTGCACCACCCTCTCTTGCCTGAGCATGAGCATGTGTGCATGTATACAGGTGTGTATGTGTGCATGTGTGTGTGTGCACATATGAAAATGCACCTCACAGTTCACCACCTTCACCATTTTTACGTGTGCAGCACAGTGACATGAGGCACATCAGCACTGACATGCAGACATGGCTTCCACCATCTCTGGCATGTTCTCATCTCCTCACATGGAAACACACTGAGCTACAGTCCCAGCCCAGCTCCCATTTTTTTTTTTTAAATTTTGAGACAGGGTCTCCCCAAGTCTGGAGTTGTCTACGTTGGGCTTAAATGTGCGATCCTCCTGCCTCAGCCTCCCAGAGTGCTAGGATTACAGGTGTGTGGCTGAGAATTTCCTCCCTTTTCAAGGTTGAATTATCATCAGCTGCAAGTAGGCACCACACCTTTCCCTGTTAGGCTGCCTCCTCTGGCTGCTGTGAATGACGCGGCCTTCAGCACCAGTGTAGGATCTGTTTTGAATTTCATTTTTAAATTGCAATTTTTTTAAAGTGGGCACACAGACACGCAGATTCTGTCTGTGGATGGAGAGCCTGGTGGGTTCAGGGTGTCCATCTGTGTTGGGGTCCTTGTCCCACATCACACCGCTGCGCTTTGCCCAGCATGTAGGGTGCAGGCATGGATCCTGGGGCACACGAAGGGCCACTCACCCACGCAGCGCAGCACCACCAGGAACTCCTCCTCTGGCAGCCCGAAGGCATTCTCGGGGCTCTCCAGCACGCTCAGCAGGCTCCCACTGGAGCAGTACTCCATCACCAGCACCTTCTGCCTGCTGGCCCCCTGCAAGAGGGCAGGGGAGGCTGGGGAGGAGGCACCACCCCACCTACAGAAGAGGTGGCTCTTCTCCAGGTCCCTCTTCCTGGGCTGGCTGTCGCTGCTTGGCCCTACATAGGCCCCACACACTGGAATTCAAGGCTGACTCTTCCAGGAGGCCCTCCGGATCAGGCATTGGTGCCCAGTCCTTTCCCATGTGCTGTCCCACCTCTTACCTTCTTCCCTCCCCTGCAGGTATGGCTCTGATTAGCATGTGACCAAGACTCTACTATCATGGGGCTCCTCCTCCCAGGACTCTGAGGGTCAAGGACAAGGCCACCCAACCCTGACTGAGCACAGGACCCACCGTCTCCTCCACAGCGAAGAGCTTGACGATGTTCTGGTGGTTGAGCTTCCGCAGCACCTCAAACTCCCTCACCTGCACCTCTCGGGGCCGCAGGTAGCTGACAGTGTTGAAGACCTTCACGGCCACCAGTTCCCCAGATTTCTGCATAGCAGGAGGGGGCTGCATGGGGAGACTGCAGGTCCCACCCCACAGGGAGCAGCCACCCTCTGCAGGCCTCTGTCCAGCCTCTCCTACCAGGTCCCAGAGGAGCTCCCACCCGCAGCTCCTTCCCTCCTCAGGCTGCACTGGGAGGTGACCAGGGCTCTGAGTCCTTAATGTCCTCTGAGCTGTGCTGTGGGTACAGTCACTAGTGCCATAGACAGGCTGCAAGGCCAGCCAGTCTGGGATTGAAACCAGGTCTGCCTGGTTTGTCCCTGAAGCCTGCGAGTGGAGTGGCTTCTCCATATGGCTCAGCAGCAGATGCAGGCAGAGCAGACAGGTCCAACCTCTACCCTGCTGTCCCGAGAGCCTGCGTGAGCTCACCTCCCCTGGAGCTGTGCTTCTGCCATCACCCTCAAGAGCCCTTTGCAGTGCCTTGCACCTCTGCCTATCCCAGGGGGAACCTGCCCTGAGCGCACAGAGCAGTGGCAAGCCCACTGGGGCCGCTGGGCCCCTGCCGCACCGAGGGCTGAGCACCAAGGGTCGAGGGCTGCGGGCTGCTGCCTACCTTGTTCCGGGCCTTGTACACGCTGGCAGTGGCCCCCTGCCCCAGCAGGTCATCTGTGTGCCACAGGTAATTGGCTGTGCTCTGCATCTCCTGCCTTGGGCTGTCTGGCCACCTGCTACCTGGAAGAAGTACACACCAGGGACTCTGTCCCTGCCCTGGAGTGCCAGCCAACAGTTCCCTGAGACGACCTCATGCCAGGCTCCATGCGGCCATTGCACAGGCAAGGGAGCAGGGAAGGGGGAGGCACAGAAGGGTTGAGTAACTTCCTCCAAAGAGGCCCAGTGCAGCACAGAGAAGCGGCAGCAGCAGCAGCAGCAGCAGCAGCAGCAGCGCCCTCAGTCCAAGCCAGAGCCACCTGTGCCATGCCCATCCTCCCCTCCCAGGCAGCCCATTCTGCAGACAAACCTCCTCTCTGCTTCACCTCTTCCTGGCACTGAGGACTCTGGGGCTTTGGCATCCAAGCCTGGCACTGTCCCAGAAGCAGAAACAGTGCAGGAGGAAGGGCCCGGGTCAAAAGCAGGGCAGCAGCGCCTGTCACACCACCGTCACACCACTGCAGATCTCCAGGATTGCGACACCAGCCTGGCGCCCCCACCCCACCCAGCTCGCTGCCTGGCCCACCACTTCCTGCTGCCTAGGCCCACAGCTGCTCCCCAGGCCACCAGGTGCTGGCCCAGAGAGGGCCAGGGCTGCGGAGGGGAGGATCTGAAAGCCCTCTGCAGCTCTCTTCCCCATCTCCGCTCCCACCCGTCCTATCCTCCCTGAGGACGACACTGGTTCCTCTAAAGCAACTGGTTCTAGAAAGTGCAGCCTCAGAACTTATGGCTCAGTGTCTGAAAAGCAGGGCTGGGGCTGATTTTTTGGGGACACCTGGGGGCAGCGGCACAAGTGGTCACCATCCCTTCAGTATTTGAAATAAGGCTGGGAGACAAGGGCCTTCTCCTGCTCCGACATCCCCTATTTCTCAAGCGGAGTGTCACCAGGCCTGGAATTTTATGTTGTTTAGCTATGAACCTTTCTCTCCGTAATCACTGTTGAAGTTGCAAATGCCTGACAGAGTCCAGTGCTTGAACCGGAGGCCTCTTGGAAAGTGCGGGGCCACAGACTGTGAGCCACCTCCCTCGCTCTGCTCGCTCTGCTCTTCGGAGGGCTGGTCCTGAGGGGCCGGGCAGAGCTGAGGATGCAGTGGGCAGTGGGTGGCGGGTGTTGCGGTACAGATGCGCCTGTGCCCCTGGTCCTGAGCTTGGGAGTGCTGACTGCAGCACATCTGGCCTGACCCTGCCTTCTCAGCTCTCATCCCTGCCTGCCCAGCATGTGTCCAGCTTCCAGAGAGGAGCAGTTGTGTGATGGAGGTGGTGGACACAAAGCAGCTGAGCTGAAGACCCGCTCACAGCCCCTCCCGCCATCAGCTCTCCCAGGCCAGAGCACTCACCCTGCTCTGGGCGGAGTCAGGCAGAGGGTCTCCCAGGCAAGCGGGTGTTATACTTTCTGTCCGGGCCAAGTCCAGGACCTGAGCTACACCGGAAAGAGCAGGGCAGGGCGGATGAGAGGCCCCTTTGGTGCTGTTTGATTCTTAGCCCCCATCAAAGACCAGCCCCAGCCCTTAACCCTTTCCTGTTTGTCACCCCCCCCCCACAGACACACACACACACACACACTACACATGCACAAACACATGCGGGCACAGGCGCGGGGCAGGGACGGGGTGGTTTCCAGCCCTTTTCCCCTGGGGCTCTGCAGTCTCTCCTGGCCACTCCCACTCCTGGGACTCTGGCCAGGGAAGAAGACCCCAGGGTGAGGGCTCACCCAGCAGCTGAACCCCAGCTTGGGGTGTCAGGAAGTAGAGCCACCCAGGAGCACTGGCAGCCCATGGGGGCTCTCCGCTGGGTCACAGCTTTCCCTCCGTTTCTCACTGGGCTCTAAACAATCTTTTCCAAGAGTGTTTCCCAGAGAGGGTGTGCAGACCACCTGACCCCCAACAGCCACAGAGAGACCCAGGGAGAGGGTGCAGGACACCGGCCAGGGACTCAGGAGGGGCCCCTCCCCCACGACACCGCACTCACCCCATCTCGGTGGCAAGGGATGCAGGTTTGTGGGACCCGGACAGCGACTCAAACTTTCAGAGCCTGCACACGTTCATGGGCAGTGCCCAGAGCATCCTCGTAGCCATGGGCCCCAGGGACCCACGAGAAGGACCAGTTGGAATGGCCTTGTGCCCTGTGGGAGCTGAATGCGAGGGTTTCTGGCTGGCTCCGCCCGCAGCAGCAGCATGCCTGGCTCAGCAGAGCCAGGGCTGCGCTCTCTAAACTTCCTGATTTCGTTTTTTCTCCCCACCTCTCGCCCTCTCCTTCTCTCTCTCTTAAAGAGACAGGCATCTCTGCAACTGCCACTCCCCCTACCCACCCTAGCAGGAAAGAGAAAGGAAGTCTCGAGAGTTCCCAGGTAGAGGCGATGGGACCAGCGTGGGAGCCACAAAGAGTTGAGGAAACGAGGCGCAGGCTCACTGCTTTGGCATCTCCACAGTTCACTGGAGCAGGGAGGTTCAGGGCTCACCTGAGGTTAACCAAGCAGGTTGGGTGAGTTAACTAAAGAGTTCCCACGCCCAGGAGTCCCAGGACCATGTCTGTCCAGTGCCTGCTACTGAGAAGTTGGATCTGACTCCTCCTATGAGCCCACAGGGGCCCACAAGCAAGCTCTGGAGGCCAGGTCATGTTCTCCAGGGACACCTGGGTCCCTCTCAGCCCCTTCCTTGTCTGCTTGGAGGGTGTATGGAGGGCACAGGCATTGCCCGGGTTGGAGGCTTAAAGGCCCTGTGGAGACCCACCGTCATTCAGTAATTGCTCCCCCAGTTACTTCAGCTTCAGGGGCTGCCGGGGCCAAGGCCAGGTGTGCTGGCCTCTCAGCCAGCCCTGTGCCCGCAAGGTCCTGGAAGGCTGGAGAGTTCCGTGCTGCTCTGGGCAGCTCTGGGTCAGCAGTTGGATAAGAAGTGGTTAAAACCAGGAAATTCCATGTTTTGATAGAATGTTGGAGGGACTTTCCCAAGGCCACACCTGGTGGTTTCCTCTGCCAGCTCCACCCCAGAAGTGACAGCAGAAACTAACTGCCTCCTGCTCTGAGAGATTTACCTGCTGATAACAAGAAGAGCCCTGGCTGTGGTTCTCACAGCTTGGCTAGGAGTAGCAGTTCGCAGCCAGGCAAATCCCTGCTGGGCGGGGGACAGAACTGCGCTTCCGTGGCCCTGAGACTAGGGCAGGAGAGAGGCCTGTGACTTCCACTTAAAGCTGTATTTGTTCCTGCAGACTGCCAGCTTCTGCCCTCAGGTAAGCTGGTTGTGCGGTTGCGCCATCAGTCCAGGTCCTGAGAGACTTGTGTGGGACAGAGTCCCTCCCGCTGTTCCGGAGGACATCTGTTTTGGTGAGACATCAGTTTGCTGTTTTAGGCTGCTGAGGTTGACACCTTAACCTTGCACATCCCTTAGTGCCACCCTGACGAACCAGCACTCTCCCCTTCTCACTCCGGCAAGCGCCGTCTCTCTCACGGTCTCACACAGGACAGCCCAGTGGGTGCTGTGTGTGCGCGCGGAGGTTTACATCTGTAGGTCCCCCCAAAGCCTCCTTGCAAAGAGGCAGGGCTTATCGAAGGTGACTGGGTCATGGGGCGCCGCAGCTGCCGCTGTTAGGAGGCCTGGTCAGGACAGGTGGGTCTTGGGGGGGCAGGGCCTGGAATCACCCCCCCATGCCTCCCTTTGCTCTCTGCTTCCTGGGCCTGTGGTGGCAGTACTGCCCTCTGCAGCAGGCCCTGCTACCATGTCATTCTGCCTTGGAGCCAGCTGACCAAGGACTGTGACCAGGAGCCAACACAAATTTCTCAGTGATGAGAAGGCAACTCAAGTATCTGTCTGTCTGTCTATCCATCCATCCATCCATCCATATCTCACTAGGCCTTCCCGTGTCATCACATCCTCCTCGGGGACAAGATGCTGGAGTGTCCAGCTGGTACCCCAGCTGGGCGGCATGGTCAGTGTCCCACGTAGGGAGGTATGGGAGTCTGGAGGCCTCAAGCGGGGAAGGAGAAGTCTGTTAGAGGCCTTGACACCTTCCCCTGAGTGGCTCTGAGGAATCTTAGAAAGAGAAGTGGCAACCCCCAGGGCCTCCAGGCTGAAGATGGAGGGGTTCCTGGGCAGCTCTTGGGAAGAAAAGCCATCCCCGTGCCTCTATAAGGAGACTGAGTGGCACAGTGGAAGGGCAGAAGAGCCAGTGGTCATCACGGAGGTTTGCATCGTGGTTTGCATCCCCAGCGACCTTGGCCAAGCCATTCAAGCTTACTTTCAAGACTGACGTGAAACAAAATGCAGTGAAACACCTGGTGCCTGGTAAGGTCTGAACGGATACTAGCATTTTGGGTGTGGTGGCACACGCACATCATCCCAGCTACTGGGGAGGCTGAGGCAGGAGGATGCTTAAGCTTAGGAGTTCAAGGGCAAAATATTGAGACCTGGTCTCAAAATCACTACAAAGTTGGGGCTGGGCGTGTAGCTCAGAAGCAGAGTGAGCGCTTAGGGTGTACGAGGCTCTGGGTTCAACCTGCAGCACAAGCACCACTGAAAAGAGACAGCAGTATTAGCTGTTTTTTTCTGCCCATGTGGCCAGAACCAGCTTTACGCAGGTGATTCACCTGCCCAGTGCCTTAAAGGAAGTGGGGGGGGGAGCTTGCAGGGCCAGTGTGTGCTTCCTGTGTTCTATCACAGGCATGCAGGGCCCAGTGACAGCGCCGCAGGGCCCTGCTCCCTGCCACCCTCAGGAGTTAGCTCCAGCCAGCTTTGCTGGGGAAAGGCCCCAGCACTGCTGCAGCACCTGGCGCTTTCTTAAGTGGTGGGGACAGGAGTTGAGGGAGTGGCCCCTGTGCGGTCAGGTTCTGCTGACCCTGCTGTAGAAAGGCAGTGTTTCACCCCTGCTCTGGGCTCCTCCACCCTCCCCTCTCTCAGCCCAAGACCTGGCCTTCACTTCAGCTTTGCTGACCTGGAAGCAGCGGTCCAAATGGAGCCCCTTTCTCCCCACAGCCGCTCCCTGCTGCTCCCGCCCATGTGCCTCTGTGCTAGCTAGGCCACTCTGTCACTTGGTTGTGTGCTGTCTCTTCCTTTCCTGCGTAGTCTTTCTTCCCATTCTGCTGGGTCCTGCCCGCCAGCAAAGAGCTTTGACACTGGCCTTTCATTTATTTTTGTGTGGTACTGATTGAATATCCCCAGCCATTTATTTGTTAAATGTTTTGAGACAGAGTCTTGCCACGTTGCCAAGGCTGGGCTTGAACTTGTGATCCTCCTGCCTCAGCCCCCTAGGGGGCTGGAATTACAGGTGTGCGACCCCACACCCACCTTGGTGCCATCTAAGAACAGAGCCTGGTCCCTTCTCCTGTCTTGATGCTCTGAGTCACTGACTCCTCTTCCCTTCTCGTTCACCGCCGACCCACTCCACTGGGACTCGTTCCTCCTATCCTGAAAATGTTGTCCAGCCCAAGTCAGTTTCCCTTTCTAGTGACCTCAGGTCACCCCATGTACCCCAAAACAGGTCCCTTCCTCTCTGTAGAGCACTGCCATCTATGGTTCCTGCAACCCGTGCTGGCCGGGACCCACCTTGCCGTGGCTCCTGTTTTGTGGCCCGTTCTCCTCTGCTGGGTTTCTGAAGATGCGGACCCTTTCCTCTTCCTGTCTTCCAGGAGCCAAACAGTTTGGACGTGTGTCTTCAAGCAGGATTTCTCCCCCAGGCCTGGACCACACTGTTACCCCAGCCTATCAATATTTCTACCCAGATGGCCACTCGTGGTCTCAGCATGGCCCACCCAGGCGGGGTTCTTGACTTCCTCTCTCCCACCAGTAGCCCTTTCTGACCCAGCCAGACACTCCTCTTATGTTGTTTCATTGTTCAGTTCAACACTTATTTTACTTATTTTCTGTTCTCCTCAACTAGGAAGAAAGTTCCATTACTGCCTAATACCATGTGACAGTGCTTGCATGGAAAGGCTGAAAGTTTGCTGACTGACTAAGCATCTCAGTCTGTTATATGTAATATGCCAGGATTAACTCTTGAGTAAAAGGAAGCCTCCTGAAACTATAAACATTTAGATGAGATCATCTTAAACACCATCTCCTGAATTCACACCCACCCGGTCTCCTCTTTTGGTTCCTATCTGGATGAAACTGGCTTGTGTTTCAATTGCTCACTGCCACTCATTCCCATCAAGCTCCCATCAGATAGATCAGAGCTGGGCATGGTGGTGCACTCAGGAGGCTGAGGCAAGAGCATCACCAGTTCAAGGCCAGCCTGGGCTGTATAGTGAGACACTGGCTTAACCAACATCTGTCCCTGCCCCCCCCCAAAAAAAAGAATATGACAGGAGGCAGCCTTTGCCTTTGGACTCTCTAAGAGGTCTCTTTGTCCTCCGTCACAGCCTAAGAACTGGCTCCACCTCAGCTACTCAGGTGCTCCAGGTGTCACCTCTGCCTGCACCCTGCTGCACTCCAAGGGAGGAATCACTCTACAGGGTGCAAGAGCAGCCCCAGCTTTGTCTCCACCAAGGTCAAGAGGCCAGCAGGAGAGCTGAAGATGCAGCCGTGCTGTTTAAACTGGAGAAAGGAGGGCCTGAGAGCTGAGTGCAAGCCACACAAATAGCAAATGGAGACAAGCACCTAGGAGGACGTGAGGCGCCTGGGCCGGGCAGGGGTAGGACCTGTGCATGACCAGGGAACACAGGGGAGCCCCTCCGTGGAGAGGTCAGATCCATGCCTGGAGGGACTGGTATTCGAATAATCCCCTAGATATAAATGTGGGCCCCATTAGGGCTCTAGAACTCATTTTGTTATCTTTAATATTCTGCTTACTAATCATGTTTATAAAATGCACATATATACTCGTTCCCACACGGGAGAGAAAAGCAACTCATACATGTATGAGAGGGACAAATGGCTCCAGACACAGTATAAACTATGGGCACAACAAGAAGGGGTGCTGGGCTGGGGGCTCACACTTCACAAAGTAGATGCTAAGGACAATGGTGTGTTCTAAGAACCAGTGGTTCAACTATCCCAAAGAATCCTGCTAACTCCACAGATGCAATTCCTCCTCTGAGAAGTGGAGCCTCTGGGGTTCCAGTGCATGCCTAGCTGGGCCCACTGCTTCGGGCCTGCGGTGAGACGTCTCCATGGGAGTGCACAGTCACCCCAGGGCCCAGAAGTGCTGAGTTATCTCTGAATAACTTCACCCTTGAGCTTACTCTCTTATAAGCAAAATCTAAAGGCTAAAGCACCCCCTGTAAATGCCTCCCCAGTAACAGCACAGGGGGTGAGCACAGGCAGAATGACTCAGGGCCCTGGTTCTAGAAAAGAACCTCGGGTTGTAGCTGGTAAAATTTCCAACCAACTTATCAAGCTTCACTCTTTAGGGGGAAATCTGACTAAAGATAGAAATGAGAACAGCCCTTACTAAGATCAGGGATGGTGCATTCCGTGAAGGAAATGGTTCGCATGGCAACAGACTGGCCAATGGCATGCTGAGACTTTCTACACACTCTTAGGTTCCACATCTGAGCTAAACGGAAATACTGGGATAAGAGCAATCAGCATTCTAAATGCGACTGTGCCGGGCCTTGGCTGGGGAGGGATATGGCTGGCTTGGGTCCTCTCGTCCTTCCCTCTGTTGCCAGGCAGGACTCTGTTCACAGGGATGAACCAAAATCCCTTCTGAGCAGCTGTGCTCCTCAATCAGACTATAGGGAGGGATGTGAACTGCAGCATGGAAACCTAAAAATGTATTTTATTTTGAAGTTGTGCTTTGGATTTTCCCCAATCCAACATCTGTTGAGTGACAGTCTTAGGTTCACACAAAGCATCTCCAAGCATACATACAATATTCCAGTTATCAACACTATTTAAAGAATATACCATTTTACACAAACGTGACATACAAGTCAGACGCCACCACACTGCAATTCCCTGGAAGATCTAACTTCTCTTCTGCAGTTCAAGTCCACGGACACCAGCCCTCCCCGAGGTCTGCTCCTTCCGAAGCTGGCGTCAGTGCTCCTGTCTTGGGGAGAAACCAGGGTGCCCTGAGGAGGTTGGCTGAGGCCAGGGATTCCAGTTTCCAGGCTGCTGGCTGCAAACTCCTCTGTTCTCCAAATTGGGATGCTGGAGCCCCTCCCCACCCCTCTTCCCAAAGACTGACCCTTCAGAGTCTGTGTCGGAAGAGGATCCGTGCCACAGCGGGCAGGGTGGGGCTCCCGGGAGCAGCGTGCTGGTTTCGGCCAGTGTGTCTGAGACTGATCTCCCTGGCCCTGGGTGACCAGCTCCTTGTGGCTTTTCGGTGTAAAATCACAGTGTGCAGCCTCAGTTCCGGTTGACTGCAGGGAGCTCTGCCGAGGACTCTCCTCCTGTTGGCTCCCGGTCCTCGACCGGGACATCTTGAAGGTGTCAGGAGCACCAGGGATGAGGACGACAGCCCAGTTCCCGGAGCTGGGGTTCACAGGCAACCGCTTCCACATTGTGCAGGTTATGACACACACCAGCAGAGGGACACTGACCAAGGGGACGGCAGACACAGGTCATGTGCAGGGTTGAAAGGGAAATAAGGCAAGAGCAACAGGACAGGCCCAAAGCATGGTCTTTAAGGAAGTTTCGCTTTTGCTTTCTCAGGGGAGAGAGTACTGGAGAGAGGGGCACAGAGCAGGTGTGGGAACCAGTTCTGATCAGCTGGATTAGAAGGAATGTCAAGTGTAAAGTGAGGTTTCATTCTCAACTAGGAAGCAGGTCCTAGTGTCTGAAAGCCCTCCCTTGGCTCAGGACCTGCAGAAGCCCAGGTCAAGACAAGAACAGGCCACTAAACAGAACAACAAAGACCAAGAAGCCTAAGAACCGCAGGTTACCTCTTCCGGGGTGACCCACTGTGCTGAAAGAGGCCTGGCTTCTCCCAGCTCCTTGAGTGGTTTCCTGACGTGGCAGGTTACCCTTCCTCATTGGGCTCCCCTGGCTCTGCCTCCTCACACAGAATGAGAAGTGTCCTAAGCTTTCCACAGTTCAACTACCAACTTCACATACTGGTCCAAACAAGGTCTCTTCTAGGTCAAAGGACACTCAGATTTTCCCACCAGAATGGCAACCTACCATCTCCCCTAAATGATAGAAAACGAAAAGGCTCAAACAAAAGTGTAGCTTTCAAACCAGAAAACAGAGAAGAGGAATGAATTCCAGCTTTTCCTCACCTAGCTGTGTGGGATCTGTGAGCCTGAGATGTGGGTGTCTCCAAGCTGGGTGCCCCCATGGGCACCCGGCTTGGAACCTGGGCTGGTGCATGCACGGGTATCATTTCTGCGTTTTGGAAGGAAACCAGGAAATAAGGCCAAAGGAAGGCCGCAATATGCAGCATCTAATGCTCTTTAGATTCTGGCCTTGGGAAGACTTAACAACCTCTGGGGCCAGGCTCCCTTAGCTGTCTCTGTTTGGATATATGAAAACCGACTTTATAGGGCAGTGTCTCTCTTTACAGCTAGGTGCCTATTGACCCCTGGAGAAAGAGACCTTATCAAAATAACCGAAGTAAGGGATGAACTTAAAATAATTTTTCATTTGGGAACAATTTTTATATTAGCAAAGTGGACTTTAACTTTTTAATAGGATGATGAATTTTATGTTTTAAGTATCCAAAGAATGGGAAGAAGAAGGACCCATTTCTTACCTTTTTCAAACCTGCCACGGACACAATAAAACTTTAAGACTCTTTACTCTAAAGGGAACCAGCTACAAAACTGTCTTATATAGGAAAATGTCTTAAATGGAAAATGGTCTACTGGAGACAAAGATAGGAACGCGAGAAATGTCTACACATTCAGAAAAACTTGAAGAGCTCCTTAATAAGATTAGGTTGTACTTCTATGGGTTGGAGAGCAAAAGCAAACACCAGTGACCAACTCACAGCAATAGAAAGAAGACAGGGAAAGCCCCACAGCCCCTCATGGATTACAGGATTGGCCCATCCTGTTACAGATCGGAATGAGGGAGAGTCCAAAGGCTAGGTAGCTTCTCTGGCCCAGACAGAACAATTTGTAACGGAAACTGAGACCCCTGGTGGCTCCTGTATGAATTGCCACAATAATTTACAAAGAGACTGGCTTATGACCAGGAGGCTACACATGCCAGAGACTAGGAAAACTTGTGTGTGTGTGTGTGTGTGTGTGTGTGTGTGTGTGAAACAAAGAATGGACTATATGTGATTCTATAATCAAATCTGGCCAAAGCCAGATGTCACTGAGAGCTGGATATAGAAGCCATGTGGCAAGGCATCCCCTGTGGCCAGAGGGGACTGAGAGTTGAATGCATACCTTCATGACTTGCCTTGTCCGATTTCACAGTGACCTGATAATGAAAACTGTCTCTGGCTAACCTAAGAACAGTATTACTGCAGTTGGCTGGACTGCAATGACTGAGGGAGCAGAGGGCAGTGGGAAGGAAAGGGAAAGGCAGGAACAAGGGCTTCATTCTCAAGGTTTTGGGTGATGGGGAGGCTAATTCTGCAAGAACAACTTAGAATCTAATTTTCAACTGAAGTCCCCAAGCTAGTTAAATAGGAAGATTTTAATAACAGTCAGTCCCTACAGTCCCCTTGTCTAGAACAATTAAATTAGACTCCTCAGACAGTACAGGACTTGTCAGTGGACTGTGGGGAAGCTGAAGAGCTGACACCAGGGCTAGTGGCATTCGTTTTGGGGAAGACAGTGGGCTTGGGTCGTGTGGCTGGGGGTTTGACTGGGGCAGCCATCTTGACAGACTTGACAGGCCGGAAGGCGCAGGCCATGTCCCCCGCGGTACTGGCGCTGCGCTGGAAGGCAGGCTCAGGGTCCTTGAGGATCTGGGTGTGCAGGGGGCTGGAGGGCTCCGAGGTGGGGGCCACCACTGGTGAGGTTTTGAGGGGCTCCAAGGTGTCCAGAACCACATCAGGGGTGTGCTTGACACTGCTCTGCCGCTCTAGCTCCCGTAGCTCGTTCAGGGCAGAGTTCATTGTTGCCTCAATATCCTGCAGAACAGGAAAAAGGAGGAGATGAGGTGAACCAAGGCTCCTCAAGGAGCCTATTGCATCAAGAAAGGTCACGGCATGAAGAAACCAACTATAAGAGGTTATTTTATTTGGCCAAAGGCCATGTAAGTGCTCAGAACATGGAGGAAGGGGAACAGAATGATTTTCATTTTCAAATTTGTCTTTCCTAGTAATTGAGCTGATTTTTCTTTTTTTCTTTCTTCCCCGGCCCACCCCCTGTACTGATGATTCCCAGAGCTACATTCAGAGCCCTTTTTTGTAATTGTTTTGAGAGGTCTTACTAAGTTGTCTAGGCTGGTCTTGAGCTTGTGATTCTCCTGGTTCAGCCTCCTGAGTAGCTGGGATTACAGGCTTGTGTCAGGCTGGTTGAAACTGATTTTTAACTAGCGTCCTTGGGTTTTAGAGATAGGCACTGAAATATTGATGGATATACAATCTAGTGGGCAGGACAAAGGTAGAACTCAGAGTGGCTATGAGCTGGGCTACTCTGAGGACAGGGGGATATGTTAATTCTACTTCTGTTTGAAAGTGTGCTAAGGAATTTTTAAGAAGGGGTAGAGATGAAGTGTGATCTTTATCTTCTTGAATTTGACGGCCAAATTTTAAGAACATCAATCGTTCCTTGTTCCTCGTTCCTCTGGAAAGTTCAAGAGCCCAGTCTTTGAAGATTTATCGGGACCCCACCCCTCATTCATGGGAGTCTCCAACTTGAAAGGACTTCCTTCTAGCCACCACCACAGAAAGGGAACCACAAAATGGCCAGGAGGGGGAGCCAAAGCCCGTACAGGTGAATCACCTTCTGTAGCTCAGTGAAACAGTCAGTTATCAGGAAACCATTAGTCTTAGCCCAGGGCTTAAGGCAGAACCAAAGAACCTTTGTATGCAAACCAGCTGCTTCCTGGGGAGACCTCCCAGTGGTCTGCACTGTCCAAACAGACTTTCCAGGCGCTCCCACACCAGCAGTGGACTCCTTCTTGGGATTAAGCTCACAGTGAAAGACTGTTCTAAGCAAAGGCCCCATTGTGAATTGTCTTACAGTGACACACGCTTTCTTTTGACAGTAATTCCTCTTTCACTCATCCTGAGGACATTCTGAAAACCTATGCGTGTGAGAAACGGGGGTTTACACCCAGGGCCTCACATACATTGGTCAGGTTTCCACCACCGAGCTACATCCCCGGCACTCTCAAACCTTTTAAGATGCTCGGGAAGAACTCCATCTGCCTCCTCAGCCCAGCAATGCAGCTGGAGTCTGTCCACTGTGTACCTTTTCACAGTACACAGTAATGCATGACCAAGGAAGGACCCAGGAGGATTCCCATGATGCAAGGCCAACTGCCAACAGGAATTTGAACAGAGGCATAGGATAGAAGGACAGCAAAGCAAGACATCTCAGGCCCACAGTTTAACACTGGGCTTGCCAGGTACACCACCTTAAGCAGAGCATCAGTGCAGCCAACAGAGACCACAGCCAGCCTCTACTGCCCCCTGGAAGATGGAACAAGACAATCTCAACTGGATTGAGACTTCCAAGGGCCTCAGTGAGCCCTTAATGCCTACCTGGTCTAATGGAAATTATATAGTTGGGAGAGACGTCTGAGAGCACTGCTTGGAGTGGCCCCGGTAGTCGGAGTTTTAGAGGTGGGGTTGGATCTCTAGTATTTCGCGGAAAACAGAGAGTCATCAGTATGGTACAGGTGTGAAGGAGAACACTCTAATGGGGAGCTCACCTCTCTGCCGCTGGAGCCTTGGGCCAGAAATGCTTTTAGTTCTCAAGTTCCCAGCAGCCAGAGTATTTTGGGGTCTTCAAGACCAGAAGCGTTGTGGATTAGCATCTGCCCACTAGGCATCAGTGACAACTTTAGGGAATGGAATGACGGGGTGGACAGACCCATCTATGAATGCGGTGACAGCTGTACCGGAATCTTGACACTCAAACAGCTTCACAAAATCTACCCAGGCCTTAAGACCCAAAACTTGGGCTGGGTGGATGCTACTTAAACACTCTAACTAGCGGCTTTAACAATCAGCAGCTCTGCAAATAGCCAGAGCAGTGACACCTTGGTTCACAAACTTAATTCTCTTCATGGTTCTAGTTGCAAATCAAGTTGGGCGAGAACTGAATCAAATTTCTCCATGAGTTCAACGCTGAATTTAACCCTTGAATTTGATTCAGTTCTCATCAATTCCATTAATGACCAGAATTGTGGAGAGAGTTAAGTTCATGAACTGAGGCACCGCTGTATCTGAGTAAGAAGTTAGAAGCCTCTCATTCGGTCTCCAGGATCTTGCTAGGGACAGACGGCAGCCGGGCAAGGTGCTTGAGCCTGAATGCCCACTAGTCCCGGGGTCCAGCACAGACTGCACAAAGCACAGCGCTGCCTTAGCTGTGTTACTTTCCTTAGTGGCTGCACTGAGTGGCAGTGATGAGTGTGGACCCACGTGAGCTGCTGGTGCAGGGCCCTCAGTTACCTGTGCAATGACCTCGGGGTCCATGGGCCGGTGGTTATTGAAGCTTTTGGACCTGCCTGCTGTGGCAGTCTTCCGGATCTGCGGACTGTCCAGACGGTTCTTCAGGGAGGAGTGGCGGCTGATGGAGTTAAGGCTCCCGTGCCCGCTGATGGAGCACTTATCTGCCCCTTCCTTGGGGAGACTCTGGCTCATGATGGGCTGGGAGGCTGGGCGGCAGCTGGCCCCTACTCCCGAGGAGGAGGAGTCACTCAGGGAACTGTTCAGCCCGTGGCTGTCGCTTCGAAATGTTTTCCGGATGCTCCCAGGTTCTGGACGCTTCCTCTGCCTTCAATCACAAATAGAGAGGGCAGGGTGAACAGGGAAAGCTAGCTCCGAGGAGGCCAGGATGGGGAGAGAGGGGCAGGTGTGACACCCAGGCACGGTAGCAGGAGAGGTGCATGGAGCACCTTTTCTCCTCAGTGTCACCTTCCCTTGCCTCCCCCAACCGGGCAAAGGAGAAATGGATACTTACTTGTGAGTCCTGGGCACTGAGCTCTCAACATATAAGTTGCTGTCAGAAAAAGTGTCCGAGTAAGGGAGAGTGTCTAATGAGAGTCATGGAAAGACTGTGCTTTGAGCAGAAACCAAAGGCCCCAGCAGGAAGAGTCTCACCATCACCACAGGGAGGGAACTGCTGGTAGGAGGAGCGTTAACTTTCCCAAGTTTAGGTTGTCTCTTGGTCTAGCTACAGTGATGCTGGAATCGTTGTGGACTCTGGCTTACTCCATACATAGAACAGGAGATTTACTCGGGGTGGAAGGACATCCACACGACCCCTGTCCCCCAACACTGGGCTGAACCCTGGCTCTGAGCCAGTCTGTTTCACACCACCTAAAGCCCTCAAATCAAATGGCTCGGCAGAACCCTAGGTCTTAGTGTTGCCTGCTGCTGAATAACTCCATGTCCTCTTGGAGGTGAAGGGCCTAACCTACAGAAGGCACGAGTTGCTTGTTCTGATGGCAGCTGGGCAGCTCTGACTGTGCAGGCAGGGCAGACTAGACTGCGGTGGGAGTTGAGGAGGGAAGGAGGGATGGCAGGACTTGGCAGATAGGGGCCACCTGTGAGGCCCTGTGCACTGCTGGGGTCTTCCTCATCTTTACAGACCTGGGGCCTGGTCCAGGTTCTGGCCCAGAGCAGCTACTCCATGAACCTGTCTGCTCAGCAGCTCTAGCCCTGAGTCAGTCACCCTCCCCAGAGGAAACGGATACTGAGCCTCTGAAGGTTCTCCTGAAGTGAGCCCTCCTCCGCAGAGCTTTCCACACCACTCACTGCAGCTGCAGACAGAATGGACCCCTCCCTCCAATGCTCCTTCGGGGTGCCCATGGCACTGTGAACTCTGGAGAGCTGGGATCATGTCTTGCTTGGCTCTGAATAACCAGCATTGGTGCTCAGCATGAAGTAGATGCTTAATAAATGCGTGGAATTGAATGGAAAGGCCACACCCTGATGACTTTGATTTCCTTATTTCATTTGACGGGGGCTGAATCACAGATCTAAACTGCTGAGAAGGCAGACTTACGGAGTAGCTGCAGTACGCCACGTCCCAGGCCAGCCCTGGGGATATAAAGGAGGAAGACAAAGTTCCCCATTCCTGGGAGCTCAGCCTGGTGGGGGATTTGGGGCAATGTGAGTACCAGGAACTACTCAAGCTGCCTGAATACAGGCGGAGGGCACCTCACTAAGCCCAGGGGAATTCAGGGATGTCAGAAAGGCCTCCCCAGGACTGTAAATTTTTGGACTGAGTCTTGAAGGGAGGAGAGAACTGACCAGGTAAGGGAGGAGTTGGCAGATGTGAAGGCCTACTGGGAGAGAGTCAAGCTCTCAGGAACTGAAGGAGCTTGCTTGGAGGGGAAGAGGGAGGCTGGGAGGCAGACTCACTCCAAAAGGCGGGACATACTGAGGGCTGCCAGTTCTCTACCTGCTGGTTGGTGTCAGTAGGCCGTGGGACAGAGACCTGTCCTCCAAGAGCTTCACCATGAGAATTCTCCCACCATGCAAGCAGTTCAAAGGAGACATCGACTTTCTACCAGATGTTCATCTTTTGACTGTTCAGCTGTCCCTCTCCACAATTTTGACAAATGGCACCTAGTATATGATGACTTAATAATATGTACCTAGAATGGGGTTATAGCTCAGTGGTAGAGCACTTGCCAGGCATGTGGAGGTCCTGGGCTCCATGCCCAGCACAAACAAAAAGCCTGAACATAACTAAATATCTAACTCTCCCTCCACCAACCCTGCTTTGGTTTCTGGCTTAATAATTGGCTTACAAGCTTGTGATTGTAGGCTTATAATTAACATAGACTTGTAAATAAGGAGAGAGAAGATGATTAGCTCATAGTTACTGTTTACTAGTTTGTCCTCGCATCAGGGCAGTGTGCTGGAGGGAAGTATAAAATTCCCCACTTTTTTGCTGGTCTGAATTAAGTTATAGCTATACTGAGTTAGCAAGCTGAATATACTACTTTATGAACCGGAAGGTGAAAGCAATGGAAACGAGCCACGTGACCCAACAACTCCCCTGCTACCGTCTGGTTGGAAAGAAGCCAAGAGATCTGGCAACCCAGTGTGGTTTAAAAACAACAAGCATCTTTTATTCTCCTTCCAGTCTCAGTGTCCAGAGGCTATGGTTAACAGGTTTTCAAAGTGCAAATCATTTCATTCCTCCAAAGCCAGGAGGGAATAAAAACTGTACATCATCTCCAATCCATATTCATCAGGAGTGCCCTGGGGCTTGTCATCCTTCTGGCACTGGGCCAGGTTTCAGGGTCTGGCAGAAAGAGGTCTGTAGGCTTTGGGACTTGGTGTCTGGCCCCTTGAGATGAGATTAGTTCTCCAATAACCTGAAAGGCTCTCGGGAAGGCAGCAGCACACGGGTGGCGTGGGATCCCTCTAGACAGCCGGCTCGGGTGTGGTGGATAAAACCCTGGATGTTGCTAAAGGCCACAGTGAAAGCTGGGAGGCAGAGGGAAGGGCCTGCCGGACAGGAGTGAGACTCTGTACAGGGACTGCTCAGGAGCGTAATACACAGGGCTTAAGCAACAGGAGAAAAATGGAAGGTGATTTCTCCCAGTGTGCGAGGGCAAAAGAAAAGAGCACCGAGTCACACGGGAAATGAAGAACTCAGGACCAAGCTCTCCCTGGGGGCGCAGCGCTCTCCTCTTCTCCCAGCAGTGGATGCAAGACAAGGGGAGAGACAGACACATGACATCTAATAAGCCCACCTGGTGTGGCCGGAGCCTGGTGGAAACACACAAGACTCTGAATCTCTGACCAGACAAGGGTCAAGGAAGACATCTGACACTATTGTTTGAGTAAGAATTGGAAAAGAGAAGGCACCTCTAACAAAGAGTACAAAACCAACTTGCATAAAGTGGCCAAAGGTTTGGCCAAAGTTTTAGTGGTGAGACTGCCAAGAAGGCCGGGGCTGACAGACACTGCGACAGCACACAGGAGGACACGCTGCCACAGCATGACAAGCGAGCTGGGGACCTGGCCTCCCATGTCACTTTGCAGCGGTGGTGAGGGCATGCAGACTGTTAGGCCCCACGAGCAGCGCGGGAGTAGGGATTAGGCTGGGGGTGAGGCTGGGTGGTGGGAGTCGAGTTGTTCAGGGGAGCAGAGAATGAAAAGCAGCGCTTACTTGTTGATGTTTGCAAGATAAATATCGGCTACGTGACCCCCACCGGGACAGCTGGCCCCCGCTCTGGGTGTCACCTTTTCTTCAGGTGGCTCAGAAATGACCTCAATCTCAGACTTGGGGCTGGACCTCTCCACGACACCGTCCTCGCTGGGGGAGAAGGGGCAGGCAGGCGGGGGGAGGGGAGAACAACAACAACACAAAAAGCAGTGTTAAATCGGCAAGATGGCCCCCCAACACACACGCGACCCCACATGGCTCTGAGGCAGCAGGCGACACCTGGTGGGGCTGGCTCTGCAAGCAGAGATAAGGGAACCTAGGGGCCTCTGGAGGTTAAATAAAAATAAATAACTTGCTGAGTTCTGCGGGATTCTCAGCTCCTCCTGAGAGCTTGGCTAGGGGACACCTGGATTCGAGGCATCTGCCCTCCACCCCACGCTGCTTTCCAGGGGTGGCCGTGCAGGGCCACCACCTAGAGGAGGCAGAAGGAAGTCCAGGTGGTGGTTTATGTGCTGAGGTCCCGAGCACTGCCGGTTAAGGACAGTCAGCTCTGCGGTGGCTCTGGAAATGCCGGCGTTGAGGCAGGACACGGCCACACGGCCACATTCTCGTAGCACATTTAGCCTCACTTAGAGCGTCCAAGCCGGTCCCAGGTCTGTCCACTGTTCTCCTGGCCCCTCTGGCTAGTGATGACAAAGAAAGCCCCTCTTCCCCTAGCATTCATCTTCTCTCGGTCCCGTAGTGAAGTCATAATGCTAAATTTGGGAGGGTTCTGTCCGCACACAGATCGCCACCAGGTTTGCGATGTTATCAACACAGGGAGGATTTCCCCGCAGAGCTGCGAGCCAGGGAGAGGCTGGGAGGGTGCAGACTCATTCAGGATATCAACCTTTAAAAAATAATATTAAGGGAAGGACTAAAAACAGTGACAGTGTCATATCCAAGGGAAGTGGGTAGGGGCAACGGGACAGGGGTGGGCTGGGCCAGGCCACAGGGGACACTCTTCCTGCCCGGGGACAGTGCTTTGAAGGGTGGGGACCAACTGACAGCCCATCGAGTGAGGAATCAGGGACCAGCTCAGCTTCCCTTTGTTCCCAGACATCTTTTCTTTCCTTCTCCATCTTGCCCAAAATCAACCTCAGGTGGATTAAATGAACTTGAGTCCCCTCTCCAGGGCGCTTAATCCATCTTCTGGGAAGTAACTTGTGTTCATGTGAAGGCTGAAGACAGCCACCAGTATCCCAGCAAGTTGGGGTATACATGGTTGTTTAAAAAAAAGCAAAACAAAAATGTCTCCCCAATCTGGAAAGGAAATGTCTGAGGGGAGATAAAAGCCCACATTATCCCTCATCAGGTGTATGCGTGGGTGAGTGCTGGCTGGCAGGTTTCTAAAACAAATGCCTGGCAGAGTGATTCAAAGGGGGATCAGAGTGGAGAAATTAAAAAACATTCTTCACTGAGTTGGGGGAGTTCCCCCTTGGGGAACTGTAAACCTCAGGCCGTGTTTGTGCCGGGGGGGGGGGGGGGCCTGGTCCCCTCATCCTCCTATAGCTCCCAATTGAAGTCTCACTCCCGTAGTGCAGCCAGGGACCACCCCTAGAGTTGTCAGGGCCCTACGTACGTGTCTTGGACCACGATGTACTGATGGGGGATGAGCCCATCGATGCCGTTGTGCCGGCCTTCCCACCAGTCGTCTGAAGCCCTCTGGTATAGCAGCAGTGATGCCCCCTTCTTGAAGGACAGCTCCCGGGCTGTCCGGCCCACGTAGTCAAACTTGGCAATGGCCTCGATGGGCTCGCACTCTGGCAAGGGAAGCGAAGGAGGAAACACATGTTGTCAGGACCTACAGACTCAGGAAATGGGGCGGGAAGGTCCCAGCAGCTGGATTTACAGTGGGGGAGGATAACCTGGCCTGAAGTGTAGGCAGGTAGGCAGGGACGATGGCAGTTCCCATACAGCCTGTGCCATCGCCCTGAACAAGCGGCCATCCTCCCACTGTCCTTTCACCTCGAGTCCCTTTCTCTCTGTCTGGCAAGACGTGTGGTGACCCTGTCGTCTCTGGCAACCCCGTTGTGTTTCCATGCCGCTCACTATGCCTATCCCTGTTATCATCAAACTCGCTATGCTCTACTTTAAGCATTACTTATTTTCTGATTATCTAGTAGTTCCATTAATTGCAGAAAATTTATCATATTACATTTTAAGTAATTTATTTATGTTACCCTTTCTCCCCAGTAGAACATAAGTTTTTAGTCTCTAAAAGAAAATAACTGGTCTGGTCAACTGTGGAAAAATACACATGAACATAATTTGAAATATTAAAAGGTATTTACAAATGCAATGTACTGTACTTTTACTTTTGTGTAGGCTTCTGTCTCATCCATAAAATGGGGATAAATAAAGTGCCCTTTTCATAAATGGTTAGGAGCAGCCAATGAACTTGTGAACATGTAAGAACAGCTGTGATGTGCATATCGGTCACTAGGCTGCAGGTAGAGATTAGATAGTGAAGATAAGGCTCTCAGAAACCAAGATCCTGAATGTCAGATCTGGTGGGAAGTAGAGAAGAAACCTGGATAAAAACAAGATCAGAGCCAGGTGTGGTCACAGACAACTGTAATCCCAGCACTCTGGAAGGTGGACGCAGGAGGATCACAAGTTTGAGCTCAGCATTAGCAAGACCTTATTTCAATATTAAAAAACAAAAAGGGCTGGGGACATAGCTCAATGTGAAGGCTCTGGGCTCAATCTCCAGTACTGCAAAACAAATACTTCCCCTCCCACAAACAAACAAAATGGCCATGCCCAGACAGCCCTGGCTGGTTAAGTCTGCTCCTGAACAGGCTGGGCCAGAGATTTCACGACAGGAGGCCAACCAGAAAAGGTCTAGGTCTCCTGACGTGTTCTCTACAGCCTCACTATGTCACTTGACCTCTCTGACCTCCATTTTCTCAACTGTAAAACAATGGCCCTATTTCACTAGAGATCAAGAGACAAAATATACAAAGCCTCTAATAGTGTTGAGATGAGGCAGCTCTGACCCAACACTAAATTCCCTAGTTCACCTACTCCCTTCATAATGCGGCAGATGATCATACTGATCCTCCTCCCAGCAGGATCTATGTAAGCTGTCCTAATGTTTTTCTCCTTTAAAAGTTGGCCCAGGACAGCAGAATTCATTTGAAGCAAGGGAGGGAGCAGGCAAAGCCCTGCAAACTGTGCCATTTTATTCTTCTGCCCAGAAAATTCTGAAGCCCTGTCGGCTGCTAAGCCTTCCCAAGCCCAAGTGATCCAAAAATGGAGGTGTGGAGCTGTTTCAAATGGGAAAACAAGCTGGCTGGACAGACCCTAATAAATCATGGGCACTGCAGAGGGGCTCAGGGTGACAGCTGAGCATTCCGGCCCTAGGGACACACACACCAGACTGCTCAGCACTCGCGCACCTGAGTGAGGAAAGGGCCTATTTTTCTAGTCAGCCAGGTAACAGGCACAAGAGCAAGCAAGGGGTCCTGTGTCCTTTTACTCGCCCTGGCTCGCCTCCCTTCATTCTTGGCACCCACTTCTCTATTCCTCAGGCTTGCTGGTTTTCAAAGCATCTCTTTCTCCCTTTGGTCTCCACTTACCTGGTAGGAGTCTGGGCTGCGATAAGGGACCAACACCCTGCAGTACTCAGGCTAAACAAGGAGCTAGGAAGGAGGACAAGAAGGCCACACAAGGTCTAGTTCTTTACTTCTAGTTCTGTTTGTTTGTCTTCTTGAGACAGGGTCTCACTATGTAGTTCAGACTGGTCTTGAGCTCACTTTGTAGCCCAGGCTGGTCTCAAACTCACAGCAATCCTCCTGCCTCAGCCTCCTGAGTACTGGGATTATAGGCATGTGCCACCATGCCCAGCCTTCTCCTCTAGTTTAATAGAAAGCCTAGTCTATGCAGGGATGTCCCTTCTAGGAAGGGAAATGGAAGGCAGGAGAGCTGCCTGCCAATCCTCAGGGAACTGCCAGGCAAAGTGCATCCCATGCATAGGACACACAACCAGACTGAGCACTGGCAGCCCCACCCAGCAGGACGCAGGGCTTCGTACCGTCATCACTTGTGTGGTGTTCTGCAGTCACATCCTGGGTGGAGTCTTCAGCCGAGGTGGTCTCTCCATGAGGGCTATCACTGCGACAGAGAACAGTGACCAGGGTGTGAGTGACTGCTTACAAAGACTTTCTCTTCCCCTTTCAACTGCCTCCTGGGAGCAAGAGCATCAGATCAGTCCTCAGCTCACTACACCTGGCATATGCACAAAAAAATACTCAGAACAAAACCTACGGCTCCACAGGTTCTCTACTCTAGCTCCCGCTACAAAAACTGCTGGAGACTATTTAGGCCTTAGACTAAAGGGAAGCCCTTTAGAAGTTATTGAATAAATTCTTTAGCAAACACAGAACAGGTCAACTCCTCCAGGGCTGATTCTCTAGGTGAATTTGTTCCTGGTTCCTGAAGAGGAAGTACAGTAGAGAGGCAGCAAAGGACTTTGCTGTCAGATTCAGCTGAATCGGGTACCACTATGTGACCGCTGAGAGCTACACAGTGATCTCTTTCCTGCTCACCTAGGTATCTCAACCATACACTGAAGACTGATCTGTCCCCCTCCTGGAGTTGTATTAGGAGTTAACAGTATCATTTAGCAAAACATCTGGAGTGCTTGATAAGTGATTCCTCTTTCCTTCTTCTTTCTCCCTTTTTGCTTTTAAATTTTTGCAGTGCTCAGATTGAGCCCAGGGCCTTGGGCATGCCAGGCAGGTGCTACACTTTAGCCCCTTCTCACTTTGCTTGATGCCCTATGTTGCCCTGTGCTTTAGTGTGAGGCCCTGGGTTAGATGGGTGTAGGGGTGGGAAAAGGAGAAGAAAAAAACCCCCCAAAACCAAACAAAACAAAATTTATCTTTTAAAAACTCATCCAGGATAGAGAGAATCAAGAATGGCCAGAGACTTCAGAGCAGATGAAAGTACTCACTTCTTCAAAAGTAGTGAAAAACCCTGTTTGTGGCTGAGGTTTCCACCTCTAGCAGCATGCAGTAATAAGCTGGCCTTCCAGGTGGTGCCCACCAGCCCCAGCCTCTCCTCCAGCCCCGCAGCCTCTCCCTCCCCAGGGCACGGGTCCTGCAATCCCAGGGAGCTCTGCAAAGACGGGTTGACCAGGTCCAAGGGGGCTTCTCTGATTCCACAGAACATTCTAGGAGAGCACCAATAGGGCTTCCTCTTTGCCACAAACATGTGAGCATAATTCTTTATGTTTCCTGGGCCTAGAGTCCCTCTGATAAATTTCATGGCATTCTGGAAACTCACAGGGCTCTCAGGGTGCATGGGGCAAAGGCAGCCCTTTCCACGCGGCCATCTACTCAGGCAAGAGGCCTCAGACTGCGGGAAGCCCTGGACAGCTGGTTAACCCCACGGCCCCACCCTAGAATTCCTGCACCCACTTCTGGGTCTAGCTGGAGCTGGAGAATCTGCATTTCTACCCAGCCCGATGTGACCTAGGTGCTGTTGGTTAGAAACCAACGTGTGGTTAAAAACCTCTGTACTGTGGCAAGATGATGCTTTTTAAGGTCCCTTCTGGCCCTAAAATCCTGTGCTTCTCTCATTCCACACCCTAATCCCCCCAAGCCCCCCTAGGCTGTCCCAGAACACTGAGTTCCTGTTTTGGGACTGGCAAGAGTGGGCAAACAGTGGGGGCTGGGGATTTAGCTCAGTGGCACAGTGCCTGCCTGGCAAGCGTGAGGTTGTGAGTTCGATTCCTGGTACCGGGAAGAAAAAAAAAGAGTGGGGAAATGCATTTGCCTACAGCTAAGGGGAGGACAAGTGGCCAGGTGGGGCTCTGTCTCCTGGCCATTCTCCAGGAGCCTTGGGGCTCCCCTCCCTCACATCTTAGCTTACTTCGCAGGCACTTCTCTTCCCAAAGGAGGAGAGGTTGGGAGCTGCTGAGTAGGTCTCAATCCAGGTCAGCAAATGCTGCTCATCGGTGCCTCTGGCCTGAGGCCCAGGGCCTTCCACCTAGACTGAGACTGGTGTAATAAATGTCAAATGCACAACACACAGTGGTCTGTGGGAAAATGGACAAAGGTGCTTGCCTTTCAAGGGTCAGGGAGAAGGGGTCCTGTGCTCTGGGAGGTCCAGAGCCTGTGGGGGTTTGCTATTTGAGCACTAGGGCAGACCTTCTGACTTTAGAAGCAGGAACCGGCAACATGACTGCAGTTTGTCACTCCTCTCAAGAGGGGCAAAATCATGAGTGGTCTGCACAAGACTTACTCCCTGGCGCTCACCAGCCAGTGGGCTGAGACTGGAAATGACCAACCTCCCCAGTCATCACCAGCCATCTGTCAGTGACAGAACCTTTCTCTCCAAGTCAGCCAGCTGAGGTTCTTCCAGTTTGGACCCAGACCTGAGCTCTGCAATACGGCAGAGGAGCGAACCCAGAATGTCATTGCCACTGGGATGCTCACAGAGGTACAAATGTCACTTTCTTCACTCTGTGGGCAGGAGTCTCTGCTTGGGGGTCAGGGAGTTTGGCCTTTAGCTAAGTAAACATCATCTGGCCTCCCCTACCTCAATGGATAGCAATGGGGCTGGCTGAACTGGCTCCAGATGTGGACTTCAGATGCGTCCGATTTGGGCTGGCCTATGCTTTCAGCTCAGGCTGAAACACTATTCAGGGGAAGCAGGGAGGTAAGGAACATCAGGGTTTATAAGAGAAGCTCAGCTGTCTTTGTGTCTGGTGGGAAAATGGCCCTGTGAGTCATGTCACAGCAGGCTACATGCGCTAACGGCTGGTGCTGGGTACAAGACAGGAGGTGAGGCTGTGTCCCATCACTGAGGTACTTTTGGGTTGCAGAGACTTCCTCTGTCACATGGAAACACATTTCCATCTGTTGGGAAATGACTGCGCTATCTGCCCAAGGGGGGCGTCTAGCAGAGTTGTTCCCTAGGGATTCCTCCTGGCTCTCTGTTCTCAAGCTCAGTCGGGAAAAGCCCTACCCTATGGAATGTGATCCTGCCTCAGGGTGGGATCATGCAGAACCTGCCCCAAATGGAGCTGGGTCGTCTTCCTCCTCACACATTCCCAGAGAGTTCTAATGCATCCTCTTAGAAACTCACAGCCAGGAGATCATGCCTCACTGCCTAAACCCTTCCCAGAAAGAATGGGTTCCCTGGGACCAGGACTGCTGTTCTCAGTCCACAGCATAGACCAGAGGCCATGGGGGGCTCCTGACAACTGAACAGCAGTTCCACATACAACCCTGCAAAACCCCCTTTCCCAGAGGATTAGTCCTGCTGTGAATGTCATCACTACCTTTCAGAACTCTCGCCACCCAGAACCTACAGAGGAGGGAGGTGGCATGAAGCGGCATGTATTCCATAGACCCCGGAGGCGGGGGTCTGCCCTGGCAGCTGACAGGCCCGGAGTGGAGGCTGGAGGACCTGGGTGTTTTCCTTTAGGTTCCCCTTGGCCATCTGGCCCTCCACGCCGGAGTGCACTGGCGACTTCCCACCTCCAGCCCGAGCCCCTACCAGTAATCCTCCATGCTTCCTCCTCTGCTGTAGACTGGGCCCTCCAGCTCCCTGGGGTTGGGGAAGATGTTCTCGTGCTGGATGATGATGGTTTTGATCAGCTCGTTCACGTGGGCTTGGCAGGACACCTGGTCATGGCCCTCCGGCACCGACATCAGCGAGGGCCCGAAGCAGATGGCAAGGTTGTAGGGGTCCATCATGTTCTCTTCACTGAACTGTGATAAACTGGAGGAGAAGGCAAAGGGGGAAGCTGGAAAGCTTTCGCATGAACGCCCAGAAAACACAATCACAGGAGGCACTGCCAAGGGCAAAGGCAGAAGGTCCAAAAATTGCCACCTGCCTTTCTGGGCATCACAGCCTTCCAGAAAGTCACCTGGGGACACAAGAGTGACCACCGGATGGTCATTCAGGAGCCAGAGAAGGGTAAAATGGAGGTGCCTGCTTGTAAACCTGACCTTTCCTTCTCTCCAGCTCCTCATTCAAATCTGCCTTACTACCTCTTCCTCACCCCCAACCTGGACCTCACCCACCAAAGCCACTCTCCCTGGAGACCATGTCACTCTACAAAGCTCAGTATGGCTCCTGCAGCCTACACCATCAAGCCACCAGAGCAGACAGGGAGCCTCGGCTTGCCCTGGTAATGGGCGCTGTGCAGTGTGTACCTACTTGCAGAGCAAAATAATCAAATTATTAGGGATATCCCACTCCTGCCTCTAGACTTAATTAAAAAATAGCCAGTGGATTTGCTTTTATATTCTACCAAGACAGTGAATTTCCTTCTCAAATGGCTATTGCAATTGTTTTTCACTTTTGCAATATCCTCTTCTCTTATTACATTCAGGATTTGTTCAGGAAAAGGTCAGTGTGCTATTCAGACTCTGCTCATGCTTCCTTGGGGTGTGGACTGACTTCATCCTTGGGTATTTATTTATTCTGGGAACTCCCCCCGCTCAGCCAGCAGTTGCTCGCCACACCTCCAATCCTGGCCAAAGATCCAAGGCCTTCAATGGGCCATCGTGCCTGGTAAATCCCCACTGGTACTTGCCTAGCCAGGTCCAGAGTGCTAGCCCAGCTTTGGCCAAATCCCTACCACAACTGTGAGCTCTGCAGAGGTGTGTGGCCTGTCCTGGACACCAGCAGGCACTGCTCAGCACCAATTCTGACAGATCCAGCCCTCTGCAGTGGCTCTTCTGAACTGGCAGAGTTTTATTCCTAAGTAAATAAAAGTCACATCCAGGCTCATGTTACGAAGCTGGTATCCCTCTCCCTTCTCTTGTGGAGGTTCTGAGATGTACCTTATGTTCCTTTGAGAATCACTGCAGGACATGAAAAGTGGCACCATGGATATGAGAAATAGCCACTGGAGGAAGCGCTGAGAATGGCTGTTCTCTAGGACCTAGCATCAAATACAGGAGTGATAGGGAGGATATAAATCCAGTGGCTGGATTGCTTCATAGGGGTTCTTAAAGATTTAATTTTATAACTCCGGACCCTAAATTAAAAGGAAGTTTCTGAGTCTTCCTGCTCACCCTGGATGCAGAGAGAAGAGCAGGAATGACTGAGATAAGACAACTCAGGGCTGGGAAGCAAATTCCGGGCTGGCCAGACACAGGAGGCTTCAGCAAAGCCTGGTTTGTTAAGTGCGATCTGAGAGTGCTTTAGTGACAGGAAAGAACACCAGTAGTTTCTGGGGAGCCTGGTGGTCAAAAGGGCGCAAACTCTAGCCCTTAGTGCACCAAGTGAAAACGCTACAACAGAGGAGAGATGAGGCAACGCTTACTAAGGGAAGAACTGTTTAACTTATAGGTGGTGACAGTGACCACGAGCTTGAGGAGGACTTAGCTTCATGGGCTGTAGTCTCATGAATTGAGGTCCATTTTTTGACTCCCATTAAAAACTAGGGTAACTGTGCAAGACCCTGGGTTCAATTTCCAACACTACAGAGGAAAAATAAAAAGACCACGATCCTTTTCTCTCTTCTAATTCACAGTGGGCATATGCATCTCAGTCTAGGGGCTAACCAGTGGCTCTTAACTACTGTGTCTGAGGGGTACAGAGGTTTCCAAGAATTTGGCAACAGAGCCAGACACAGTGGCTCATGCCTATAGTTCCAACTACTCAGGAGGCTGAGGCATGAGGATTGCTTGATCCCAGGAGTTTGGGGCAGGCCTGAGAAACAGTGTCACTGTCTCCAGCAAGCAAGCAAATAAACAAAAAAAGAATTTGACCAAAACTAGGTATTCTATACCCCTTAAAATTCATACATGTGTATATACAAATACATATAATTTTGTATAACATGTCACGATATTACAGCCAGTATAAGGTCTCCGGCACAGGATATTTATATTTAAGAAAATATTTAAAATACATAGCACTGATAACAGCTTCCTGTTGAAAAAAATTTTTTTAGTATTGACTTATATTCATGCCATCTCTTCTAAGAATAAAACTGTATTTTGAGAGCCAGACATGGTGCACACCTGTAATCCCAGCACTCAGGAGGCCAAGGCAGGAGGATCGTTGTGAGTTTAAGCCCAGCCTGGGCTACAAAATGAGTTCAAGACCAGCCTGAACTGCATAGTGAGACGCTGTCTCAAAAACACAAAACAAAACAAACTGTATTTCGATAGCTTCAATCCATTACACTGGTGAATTCTCCTAACTGATTTGAACTCACCCTCTTTCATGCATCCTAAAAATGCTCAGCACAGCAATCATGATTGGCATGGGGAAAACATGTTTCTCATCATGCACTTCTCAGGACTTTTTTACTTTTTGATATGTGCAATTGTCTGTTTGACTAAATTAAAAAGAAAAATAGCTCAAGAATTTTAGAGTAAAGTAGGCATGGTTTTTTACTTCTGTCTCTATTGCTTACTAGTTCTACAGCATGGCTCTAGCTCCCTAGTGTCTTCACTGTAAAACAGAGGTAAGGATCTGCCTCCTTTATGAGGCTGCTGGGAGGACAAAATGAGGTACTAGATGCAAAACGCTTCACACTGCGCCTAGCACATAAGTGGGGTTCATAAGTATTTTCCGTGATTAGAATATTCCAGTTGCTTTTTGACATAAACACCGCCGTTCTAGTCAGGGATTGGAGGGCAGGACTGCTGACATCTGGCAGTGATTAATTTACAGAACTCTACATCTTCCTCAGCAGGTATTACCTAACGAGCTGATCTTGACTGTAGATCTCAAAGTAAAAATGTTAAATCTTTGGGACACTAAGTTTTGCACAATTTTTTTTTTCTTTAATGTTCCTAGGGATGGGATCCAGGGCCCAGTGCATGTGAAGCAAGCATTGTAGCTACACCCCTGCCCTGACTTCAGATTTGAAAAAGAGAAAAAGCTGTGTTGTTTGGATGACCTAGGCTGTGGTGACGCAGTGACCTAATGGATAAGGCATCAGCCTCCGGAGCTGGATGACCTAGGCTGGAAACCTCTGGGCCCTTAACAGACATCACAGGAGGCTCCAGAGCTCCCCTCTGTGTAGGCAGATATCACAGCCTTCCCCTGATTTCCCTGAGGGCTCTCTTTGAGACAAGGAGGGAAAGTTAATTCCAGCTGATGCTTTCTGGTGGTCTTTCCAAGCTATTCCTCATTCCTTTACCCGCCCTCTGTAGTCCCCAAGCCCACTGATTGGTTATCCCTTATGTTCTGTCTTCCTGGGCAGTAAATTCCATTCTTTATCATCTCCACAAGAGTGTTATTCTGCCCCATCTTAAAAAAAAATTCTCTCTCAACCCCACTGCCACCTCAGATTATTGTCCCATTTCTGTGCTCTTTATAATAAAATTCATTCAGAGTCCTCTGTACCTGCTGTTTCTGATTCTCTGGTTTCTTCTCTACCCCTTCTGAGGAATATATTGTGTTCCCTCAACTTTGTATGTTGGAGCCCCACTGTGACTGCACTTGGGGATGGGACTGTAACCTGATAGGACTAATGTCCTCCTAGAAAAGGGAAGAGATACCACAGGTCTCCCTGAGCATACACAGAAGGAAGGCCATGTGTGGACACAGTGAGAAGCTGGTTGTGATGGTCTATCATGATAACATCAACTTCTTTGGGTTAAGAACTGCCTAGCAGATTGGTAGCACACTTCTGGTGTGTGGTCATGGAGGTGGGGCCTTGGGTGCTGTGTATGGTCCCTTGTCTGTTCCTCCCCAGCTGCCACAATCTAAGCAGCTCTGCCCGCCTCCCCTTTCTGCCATGATGTTCCTGAGCCAGCTGAGTATGGACTGGATCCCCCCAAACTGTGAGATACATTAAACCTTTTCTCCCTTAGATTATGTCAGGTATTGTGCCTGGCAACAGAAAAGCTGACCAATACAGAGGCTGTCTATAAACCAAGGAGAGGGACTTTACCAGGAACCAAACTCTGGCACTTTGAGCTTGAACTTTGTTATAGTTTGTGTCTAGATGTCCCCCCAAAGACTCATGCAGTCATGGGGCAGACTTCTAGAGTTTGTGATTGATTCATGGTCCAGGGCTGGGATTATGGGTGTGAGTGCTATACCTGCCCTGGGGCAGGTAGCTTGCATACAATATAAGGGAGGGAAAGAGGCTGCTTGCTGCCACTCCTCCCTTTTTGCTCTTGCTGCTTTTCTTTTCTGCCACCACGAACTGTTGCCCTCTGCCATGTGCCACTCTGCCTTGCAGCCAGCTGAGTATGGCCTGAAACCTCTACAAAATGTGAGCTCCTTAACTTAGGGTGTCAGGTATTTTGTCTCAGCAATGAAAGAAAAGTAACTAAGACAGACTTGCAGACTCTAGAATGTATGAATATAAACTTCAGTTGGCGCATGCCTGTCATCCCACCACTCAAGAGGCTGAGGCAGGGCAGGTATTAGTCAACGAGTGAGGACAACAACTGGTGACCCTCAAGGGACTGATTCATTCAAGAGTAATTAGCAATTTCCAGGCCACATGTGAACCTTTGGGGCCCTGAGGAGTTTTAACTCAGAGATAGTTAGAGTGCTGAGGCAGGGCCTGGCCAATGAGCAGGATAGGCACAAGAGGTGGGCTGTGAAACCAGGATCCTCCGTAGCTCTGAAGGGCCAGCACTGAGGTGACATGATGGTGTGGGTGCCCCAGAAAGGTCTAAGGGGCCACTAAACCTGATGCCTATAGCACCAAGCTGACTTTGAACTTGTAAGCAAGCTGAGGCTTGTGAAACAGTCTCTAAAGGTGTATTCCTTTTAAGTAGAGATCAATCATAGAGGAAGTCTTTTCATTTTCACCAAGAAATATGTGATCAAACACTCTGGCCCCTTGATTCCCTTGGTTTCCCTCATTTTGATAGATCCATGGATCCCGAGAATGGTTTCAGTCAGTCTTGGGACTGGGGAGGGACAGGGACAACTGGGACCGTGGTGACTTGGAAGTGTCTGTCCCATCCAGAGGGCAGCCCTGACTCCACAGGGAACCACTGCCATGTCAGAAGGTAGGTCCAGTATTGCCAGATCGAAGGACCTCAGGAGAAGGTGGTGAAACCCCTAAGCAGTTAACATGCTGTTTCACTGCTTCCCAGATACAACAAACCCAAAGGAGACACCCCAAAGCCCTATCTGGCCTGTTCAAGTCCAGGATTTTGAGGGAAAAGCCTAAGTAAGCATAAGCAAAGTGAAGACCGAGGCTCCTGAGAAGGCCAGTGCCCCACATCCCTGCTTGATGCCTTCACTGCCACATGGCGAGCCTTGTGGCAGCCTCAGGCTAGGACACGCTGCTTGCACAAGAAGAAATGCTTCAGCCAAGCCAAAGCTGCCCTGGTCCTCAGACTTTTCTTCTGGCCATACTCATACCCCGGGTGGCCATTTAAACACTACCAATACAAGGTGACTCGCACCTCCCCACCTTCACCAGGCTTCTCCCCCTCTGTCAGACCCCTGTGTTCAACTGCTTCAAAAGCCACCGGGATGCCTAATGGGTGCTTCAAATGACCCTGTCCACAGGGGCCCATTGACTTTGAGAACAGTCTTTATACCTGTCTTCCTTAACTACACGAATACCATCACAATTTCCCTGTTCCTCATGCCAAAAACGTAGGATTTCTCTCTTCTTTCACACTGCACATTCACTCCAGGAGCAGGTCTTGTCTCTACCATGTGTAAAATAATCCCCACCTGCACTTTCCTGCTTACCCACCCTTCTGTCTAGCTAGCCCTCAGCCAACCACACAGCTGATGATACAGGATGAGCCCTCCTGATAATACTGCACATAGATCAGGTCATTACACTCTTCCCCTTAAAACCTCTCAACCATTTTGCAAATCCAAACCCACTCTTACCAATGGCTCCCAAGTCTTCAATGTTCCCGTGGCTCCTTTCTCAATGCTTAGGCTGCTGCTCACACCCTGTCTTCTCAGAGACGCCTCTGCTGACCACCTCTTGAAAATGTTCTCCTTTCAACCTTCTGCCTCAAACCAGCTCTTGCACTCATCTGTTTTGTTGCTGTCGTTGTTGTTGTTTTGAGACAGGGTCTTACTTTGGTAGCCCAGGCTGGCCTAAAACTCACAGTCCTCCTGCCTCAGCTTCCCAAGTGCTATGACTGCAGGTATGTGCCACATGCCCAGCCTTCATCCCCTTCTTTCATCCTTTTCTCTTGTAAGTATTTATCCCACCTGAGATGCCTATTACTATCTGTCCCCTTCCCGGGAACGTGAGCTAAATGACATTTCTCACTTAACAATGCATTCCTACAGCCCAGCACTATGGCCAGCACACAGTAAACACTCAGTATGTATGTACCGGCGTGAATGAAAAGACAGGGCCGTCTGGAACTTCCAATAGCCAAGTAGCCAAAGCCAGGGCCTGAGCCCCAAGTTCACTGGGGTGCCTACTTACTGACTGAGGAATGCGAAGAGGTATCTCATGATAATCAGAGTGGTTTTGGGTAGGGCCAGGATGACTTTCCGGATGTGCAGAGCTCTCTCCTGCAGGTTGTCCATTGCTGAAAGAAGAAAGCCACATGTCACCCTGCACTGTGACTGAGACTCCAGGAGGAACGGCCAGAAGCCCCTATCTCCAGCAAGTGCAGCACAGAGCACTGGATTTCGTCAACACACAGCACAGGAGCCCAGGGACAGGACTGTGGCTACTTGGGGTGGGCTGTCCCAAGAGGCCACATGTCACTGCTGTACTCCTTGGACGGAGGAAGTATTGGGGTGGCCACCCCATGCACTTCTTAAAACAACCACAGACAACTGGCTAACTGCTCTTTCTCAACCTGCCATTATGTTCAACACCCAGCCTGCCCCCTCTGGCCTGCCCACTGTACACGCGCCACTACCCTGTCTTCTGGTCAAGCCTGGCTTGTCTGTCCCCTCTCATCTGCAGCAGGAATGAGTAGGATGTGGCCACAGGCAGGGGATGGCAGCCCCTGCATAATCACCCACAACTCGCATGGTGTGGGCCAGTGAAGCTACAGGTACGGCCCCAGGCCTGTGGCTACTGCTGTGGACAGATGTGCAGTGCGTCATATGGACAATGTCATTTTGTATAAGTGACATTTATATGACTGTTCTTTTCTGTTTTTGGTACCAGGAATTGAACTCAGGACCTTGCGCTTGCCAGGCAGGCACTTGTACCACTGAGCTATATCCCCGGCCCCATTATGGCTGTTCTTTTCTATGATGGCCTTTATGAGAAAAAGAAATGGGAAGTACTGGGTTAGGAACAAGAGATATGTCAGGGATCTCAGACTCTCTCAGCAACCACCGCCCTGCTGAAGGGATTTTACCTGGTTCCAGCCCTGGAAAAGACCTGAAGACATGACCTAAGGGATACGCAAAGCTAATCACACGCACAACTCACTTGTATTATGGAGACTCCCACAGGTAAGGGGTCAACAAAGAAAACAAGAGCTAATTTCTTGAATGTTGTAGGCTCGGGATGGCGAATATTTCAGAGCTTTTAAAGATACAAACAGCCTGCTGTGGCATGCATGCCATAGGTTCATCACCAATGTGCTCGGCTGTTCGCACAGTAACTGAGAGGCACAAGGACTCAGGGCAAATACTGAGCCAGACTGGAAAGCGAGGGAGCACGAGGACCCTGGTCAACCTGGGAGGAAGGATTTTGTCTCATTTCAAAGGCATCACCAGCTCCTGCCTGTGGGGCCGTCCTTCAAGTGACATCTTGCCTCCAGCAAGACCTGATATTAATCTAAGTTTCTGTGGACAGTAGTCCATGGAAAGATATGAGAGGATGTTTGAGTATCATGAGCTGAGCTAATGGTTAGGAACAGCTTCTTTTCAAGTCTCAAATTTTTGAGTAAATGGCAGAGAACCCCTAAGAAAACAAAATATATACTGCTTTCTGGGGGAATATGACTACTTTTAAATGTGCAGAGGGCTCTCATCCTTAGAATGCACATAAATACATCTAGCAGGTAAGCCACGCCATGGTTAACAGTAAACATGTGTAATACTTATGCTCTTCTCCTGCTATCATGAAAAGCCCAAGCCCTAATGTATAAGCTTCAAATAACTGAAAAAACTAGATCTATGGATGAATGCAAAGGCATTTTACTAAAGGAACATAAAGTCTTCTTTTTAGAAGAACAAGGTTTATGACTGAAGCAAATAAGAGAGGTTTTTTTGTTTGTTTTGTTTTGTTTGTCTTTTTGAGACAGTGTCTCATTATGCAGTTGAGGCTGGCCTTCAGCTTACTTTGTAGCCCAGGCTGGTATCTAACTTGCAATGATCCTCCTGCCTCAGCCTCCCAAGTGCTGGGATTACAGGTGTGCGCCACCACACCCAGTGACTGAAGCAAATCAAAAGAAAAGAGCCAGAAGTCCCGACTCTAGCCCTAGAGTTACTGAACCATCACCCTTCCAGTCCGGCCCCTAGCACCAGGGATGAAAGAATAAAGCCGAGAAGAAACTCACTGGGGAAAATGGGAAAAAGGAAAACTTTACTGAAAAGCACATAAGGAAATAAAGAACTGCATGGAAATGTTCAGGTCTCTGGCTCCCAGCAGTTGTGGCCCAGGAGTCAGCCTGAAGGTAGGGTGGCACTTACTGACACAGGCCATTAGGTCGTGGAAGATGTCCTTGGGGAACAGAGGGTGTTCCAGGCCACGGAAGTAAAGCTTCAGGACGCCTGCTATGGAATCCATGTCATGGTCATTCTGGTCCCCAGCCAGGGGGTCCTCTCCTGAGGATAAGCAATGCCCCCCAAAAAGGAAAGAAAGTAAGAGAGGCAGAAACACATAGGACAAAACGGAAGAGGTGGGGAGGGGTGACCTATTGGTGTCCTCCACCAGCTCATCATCTCTACCAGCACAGTGTCCACAACTGGGACAGACCGGGGAACAGATAAAACCATCCTCTCGGGCTCAGGGAGATTCTCTGGAGCCTGGGGCACGGCAATTGCCTCTCTCACAAGAATCTCGAAAGTAGGCTGGACCTGAGTCCCTTGGGGAGGAAAACAAGGCCAAGGAGACCAGTTCCTCCCACTGGCTCTTGCTTCTCTTGGCCCCCAGCAAAGGACACCTACTTACAGGTGCTCCCTGTGGAAAATTTCTTATGAGATGTAATAAGATTTAATGACAGGACCAACCTCAAATTGAAACTATATATATCCATTAGAGTGACGGAAATTGCCAAAGCTTGCCCATTACCTTAATAGCCCACAAGATAATAAATGGGCTACAATGAACAGGCACATTAGCCTTGATATTAACTGCCACCAAGGGCTCTGGATGAAGCCATAAACTGCCTAGATATCACGGTTAACTTCTCAGTTTTTGGCAGGAGAGGCAGGAAGGGTGGGGCTGAGAAGGAAGGAAGCTGGGATGTGCCCAGCCTCTCTCCGCACAGCTAATGCCTGCGTGTATGACAGGTGTCTGGCTGAAGAGCACGGAGCAGGCTTCCTAAGCTCTTGGGGAGAACAGCGGAGCCTACACCGCAGGAGGCTGGCAGACATTTGGTCTTATCCTCATGGCTATTCCCTTACCTCTCTCAAAGGCATTTTTGATGTCATTCACTTCCACCTGGGATCCAGACACCCGGAAAATTCCTTCATGCTGTAGTCCTGGAACCACACAGGGAAAAAGAATTCACAGAGAAGAAAAAGCAAGTTCACAACCACAGTACAAGCTCAGCTGAATGCCATCTCCCCAGGCAGTGGATACTGAAGCATCCTATGTCTCTTTTTTTCAGGACAATGAGGAAAACATGTGCAGAGGTGTTGGGAAAGTCACTGGAAAAATTAGGAAGCATCATCTAAAGAAAAAACCAAGTCAGAGACTTAATGGAAGGACGTCCATAGCCAGCTCTTTTCCTGACTCTGAGGGAGACTGACGCAGGTGCCTTCCCGCCTTTGCCTAATGCACTTGACTTGCGTCAAGTGACCTGCTGGAGCTTTCTTATTGCCCAGGGTTTTATTTCCCAGAATGGAAGCTGGGTTGTGGCAGTTAAGACATTATGTACCACTGGAGAAGTTTTTTAAGGTTTGAGGTGATAATGATTGCTTTCATTAGTTTAACACTGTTCTACTATTTGGGGGACAGTGCTTTCAGTAGTGATGAAAAAAGAGGACATGAAAATACTGGGAATCAGTCACAGGTGGCACTGTCAGCTACTGTCTAGGCAGTGGTCTCTCCCTGCTGCTTTAAAGACAAACACACACGAATGTTATGCTATGATAATGTACACAAAAAACTTTTGTCTTCTTGAGTTTTGTTAGAGTAGAAATAATTATTAATAAAAATAGCAGTGTATAGTAGTAATGACTATACAGTAGTGATTGCTGCTCGGTCCGTACAGCAAGTGAGAACCTCACACCAGGGTCAAGGTCAACAGTAACCCAGTCTTCTAGCCGAGGGGACTGATGAGTGACAAGCAGCCTTCAGTTACACAAGTAGGAAGAATCTGGGTCAGGACTCAAATCCAGGCCTCGTGGCTCCCACCACATGCTCATCCTTGACATCAGACCTGTGGGGCTACTGGTGTGCATGTAGGGAGGGCGAGAGTCACACGGCCAGTCTGGACTTGGACATGGCTTACAGACAGCACTACACACACACACACACACACA